CAAACAGTTCTGAAACATGATAGCAAATACAGTGTCTCCCAACCTGAAGTCCAGAAAGACCACTTTAGTTTCAAGAATCTCTGCTGTTACCGCAGAACTGGGACTGGAGTTTTCAGTTTCTCTCTTGCTCCTTTGTTTCTAGTTACTCTGCAGCATGCTCAAACATAGGTACGTTTTCTACAGCTCACTCAACAATGCCAAATCAAAAAGGACTCAATAGCTTCAAGACTTTAACCCTTCCTACACACTGGTATTCCATGTGGAAAATCACCTCTGAGGGAAAAGGAATACGAAATTTATGTTTGACAGGAGAAAGATATTGGCGAGAATACTTAAAACAGCAAATAACAAAGACACAAGTTTGATAAATGACATAAAAGCAGGTGATCTCCACCTCTCCACAACCACTGGAAATACCCACAGAAAAACTCCAGTAAGTTCTTGTTTGTGGTTTCCTCCATTTAGTATGGAAAGCAATGCTATCCACTTCCCAACTCATGAGGCAGCAGTCATTCTAGCACAATGAAATCTTCAAATAGAATCCATAGGAGGAAAATGCTGCCCTTACCCCACAGGTTGTATTTGTGAGCAGGTCTGGGAGCCCCCTAATCTTCTGAAAGCTTTGCAAAAGCACTATGTTAGCAAAGCTTTTCCTGATTGTGGCTTGCCTACTGGTGCCCTTTGTACAGTCTTTCAAAGCCTTGGAGTAGAGTTGGCAGAGAACTTTAATCTGTGCTAGTCTGTGAAACAACATAGCTCCAGAGCCTAAACAGAATCCATTAACAATGGATAACTCTGTTGGGAGGCAGTTGTCTGATGAACTGGTGGAGAAAAACCCACTTTCCACTATTTGGATCCATTGAGTTAATGTTGCTGACCTCTGTAACTGCCCTATCAGAGCACCTGAGCCAGGACTACTACATTCATCTTTACCAAAGTCCATTTAGCAAAAAAATAATCAATGTTCTTCTGCACACTGCCCTCACGTTCAAGAATAGTAAGGGTGCTCTTAGCTGGTCCCCAAGAGACAGGGGAAGACTTAAGAAACATCAAGACCTTGGGAAGGAATGCAGCATGCATTACTTGTCTGGGATCTACCCAGATTCAGACTGGAGTCCATCATTTGTGTATATCTATTCTAAGCTTTCTTCTCTGCTTCCATCTGTTTGGCTCACTCATTAGGCACTTGTACAACTGAATGTACACATTCAGTTACTTTCATGAAGGTGGCAGCAGCATGAAGCACTCTCTCAACCTATGCAACTCCTATCCTGGTTTTACATAAATTGCAGTCCTGTCATAGGTCACCACAGATTCCTAGAAGGCGGATGCAGTAATCTCACTAAGAAAATCCTCCCGACCCATTTTGTTCATCACAAGACATAGGAAATCTTCCTCTGAGAATCCTCCTCCGTGGATGGAGCCTCTTTTTACTACACAGAGAAATTTGATTTTGTGCTGCTAATGCAAAGGTATAAAACTTTTTGATATGTCATTTCAAAGACACAACTGCACACAACTCAGCAATTAAATACTTTATATATATAAAGAAACATGTAAATTAAAGAAAACATGGTGGTAGCTAAAAAGGTCTGAAGCAGTCTGGCAAATCCTTAAAAAAAAACACCCTGAAAGGCCCTTTGCTCCATATGACGCTCAAGGTTTTCATCAGAAACAGAGAAGTCAAAAGCCACGTTAGCAAACTTCAGACACCACTTAAGGGTCCTCTTTAGACCCTTAGAACATCCGAGATGGTGTAAAGCAGAGCTCCACTAAATACGTTAGCCACAGAACACTAGCATAATGTGCTTTAAAATGTCTTTTAGGAATAAAGTTGACCACCATCAAGCTGCAAGAAGTTAGGAGGTTCTTTCCACTGCGCTTGATTTGAAACTCCTCCCCCACTGGCACACTTAAAATGGTACTTCAGATTTTCACAGATCTCCTGATGATGCTCCAGCCTTCTCATTCCACCACCTCTCACATCTTCCAGTGTGACTCTAGTCATTCGTAATATGAGTATCCTAAAGGTTAATATATGCACATATGTATTTATTTAGATGCATTATAAAACACACTCTTTATAGTGGCAAATACAGAAAGAAAAATAATGGAAAAGGTCCACACTCAGTTTTCAGGAAAAAAAAAGGAAATAATTCCATGAGATATATAACTGAAGCAGAGACCTTTACTTTTTATAGTTCTCTACCATGGGAAGTTGACTGCAGGTCAGCAGGACTCCAACTATATTAAATTCCAAATTTCTCAAGAGAAACCACCAGGGCTATCAATAGGGTTTTCCTTCTTTGATGGAATGGATCCTATTGCTTGTGTTTTACATAGACCATGTAGGGAAGAAAAACCCTCAATAAAGTAGTTTGAGTATTTAACTCAACCAATAGTCTTTAACAACCATTCTGAGCTACTTATAGCCAGTTTTCCTTAGTTATCATACTGTGTATTATTTTAATGAATCAGACTTAAAAATAATTCACAATTTCTGATATGGGTGAACTATGCTGAAAGTCAAAATTCTTCTGAATAGAACCACTTCTTCAAGCTTGCAAGCACACAGGTTTCCTGTACTATTTTGACTCAGTGGTCTTCCCAGCCTGAGGTCAAATTTATACATGGCCATTGGAAGTCTCCTGCCTGCAGATTGAAACAAAATGAAAAAGGTGGAGAAAAATATTGCTCATCAAATAACAGCTCTTTAAGAAAGATATGTAAGGAAATACATAATAATACCAGCTTATCTGAAATTTGTACAGACAAACTTGAAAGCTGTGGAAAATGTTTTAGCCTGTCATCATGACTGTTTCACAGGTGTTCTCCTATTTAATAGTTACTGTTCTGCAGAGAGTATGCCTAAACCTTACACTGATACATGATTCATAGAATTCAAAGGGAAAATTGGCAGAATGCCATCAGAAATGGCTATTGGTGTAGCTGGTTACCTAGTAATAACTACTATAGCTAGCTCCTGAGAAACGGAACTATTTTGTTTCAGGCAATTGCTTTAGCTTGTGCAAGATACTGAAATAGTGTTTCAGCTGGAAATACCACAACTGCACCCAGGAACATTTCTCATACTAGGGAAGCCTTCTCCACCCTTCCTAAACAGTGCAGTCTAGGCTGCCCTGGTGACAGTGAGAATGCTAGAAGGTGGCTGGGACGGGTGACACTGAAGGACAAAATAGTGAGGCATCCGCAGCTATTGGATAACGGTCATGATGCTGAAGCAGCAGCATGACTCACTGGACTCAACCCTCTTCAAGAAAGAGGAGAGCAATTCTGACAGACACAATGTTCTTATGTTCTTGATGCCTTCTCATGTGTTCTCCTCCTTTCTAGCCTCTTTATCCTTGCCTTTGCCAATTCCTTCCCCTCCCCCCCCCCCGCCCCCCCCGCCCCGCAACAGCAACTCAGCAACTTACTCTTTCAGATTTATCCAGGATGTGGCCCCATTTGATGAAGACTGCATAAGCACTTCTTAAAAGGGGTACTGGCAACAGCCACACAAGCTTCTTGGGAAATCTCTTGGTTTAATGCTCACAGCTGAGGGCCTGGTACCTAACACCAAGCTGACTGTAATGAGCATCAGCTCTTCCATTACCCAAAGAGTGTTATTGCATCTCAGTAGGCCCTTTGCCTTTCCTTTCATTACCTTCATCAATACTAGCCTTTGCCTTTCATTGATTTGATGTGTGGAAACCAAACCATTCTTGCCCTTCAGTTTGAGACTTATCTGACAGCAAACCAGTGCTGTCAAAGTGAACTGAAGTTTAGCAACCACATTTAGGCGGGTTGGATGACCACGTTCAGGTGACATTAAGGTGATTTCACCTGTAGCCCAGAACATAATTTTGTTATTTCAGTCTCCTTTTTCTGACTGGCCCTGTAAGTGCTGAAGGGACACAGATAGGGCTGTTTTTACAAATGTAGGTATAATCAATGAATAGTGTCATAATGAGCAGTTATACTTGGGGGTAGCTGTGTAAGACAGGTCTTTCAAGTTCACTTTACATATTTAGTACAATATTCATAGAAAGAACCCCAGTTTTCCTGCACCTTATTTCTTCTACTATTCCTTGTATGAGCTGTATGATTAGCAAGTAAACCAAGATGAACTAACCATTGCTCTGAAGTTACATCCAAATTCACTGTTCTCTAAAATTTAACAGAATTCGTGAAGTAAAAACTAATAAATCACACCTTTTACGTTTCCTCCCCACATGACATGACACGGCTGCAAAATGTGTCTTTCTAGGTGAAGCTGAATATACTTTTTAAAAGACCTAAGATGTGGAAAGGGACTTCCCCCCCCCCCCCCCAAGTGTGACAGATAAAGGGGAACTACCACCAGTAATCTTGACTGCACCACTTGGTATTTTTGGCGAGACTATTTAACCGCATGCACTAAAACATTACCCCAAGATGCCAATTCAGCCATCCGCCTTAAAAAAAAACCCACACCCCTTTACAAAACTAAACGCTTTTGAGGGCAGCATCCTTCATCCCTTCCCCTAGCACGTTTCCATAACCTTCTCCATCTGTTTAAGGACCAGCCAGCAGAACGCTCTCTCAGCATGTTTTAGAATAAGAGGTAAGGGAAGCCCAACCGAACCCCTCCACACCACATGGCGGCAGGCAAACAGCCCGCAGAAACCACTCTCGCCAGTGTCCATCCCCTTCCAGGCACGGCAGGGATAAACTGCTGAAGGGAGGAGACCACTACTAAGCTACAGCAGTAAAAACACCTCAGTAACAGAGGCGAAAAGGAGCAATAACCCCCAAACGACACACACGAAGTTAAGCAACCGGAAAGGGCAGCGCACAAACAACCCCCTTCCCAGCGCATGCGCGGTACAGCCCGAGCACCCAATCATCGATCGCTGCGGGGCAGGGCCGCCGCGCAGGCCAGGACGCGGCGCGCCGAGGCAGCGATCGTGCGCGCGGCCAGCGGCGCGCTGGCTCGACAGCCACGCGCCCCGGGGGCGGTGCCGGCTGGGGGCGGTGCCGCGCTAACCAAAACACCGGCACGCCCCGGCAGCCCTTGCGCCGCCACCACCGCCACCGCCTTCCGGTGGGGCCTGGTTTAAGGGAGTGAGGCGGGAGCCCCCCTTGTCGCCGCCGCTATGAAGCTTCGTGTGCGAATGCAGAGGCAAACGGCGCCACTGAAAATAGAGGGGGCGGAGCCAACGCTGGGGGAGCTGCGCGCGCAGCTGCGTCAGACCCTGCTGCCTGCCTGGGGGTACAGGTAACGTGCGGAGCGAACCAGGTCGGGGTGGTGGTGGTGGGGGGGGAATGAGAGGGAAAAGTGTGTGGGGAAGGCTGTGGCCCCGCGCAAGCGGGGCTTGGCCTGGCAGGGCCGTACCACGCGTTGGGCGGGGGGGGTGTGGTGGTGGCGGTGCTGCCCCCTGCAGGGCGGGTGCAGGCGGTGGGGCCTGTGTGCGGTGTCCCGCCGAGGGGCACCGGGGCAGTGCCCGGGTTATGGGCAGCCCATCGCGGGGGTTATAAGCAAGCCCAGCTGGACGTTTTGCCCTGTTCTTGGGGTTGCTGATCGGGTCTCCACTGCCTGAGGTGTGGTTTGCGTCATGACCGTTCGCTGCAGGGATAGAAAGCGAAACTTGCTTTGGGAGAACCTCACCTTTGATGGGGTGTGATGTGCTAATGCTTCACTATTGAAACACACTGGTAGCACCGCACTGTGCCGCACAACAGCGTGGACAGGGGAGATCTGAAGTTAACTGCTTGTTTTGCCACAGTGGGTGTGTTACATAGCTGATACTGGATAACTGCTTCTGTGCTAGCCAGTTTTGTTTCTGTTTGGTTTTATTGTGCTTACTCTGAAGCATCTTATTGCCCTCAATTGTAACTAGCATTCCGGCCCTTCGAAATGAATGTTTTGCTTAATGAAAAAGCAGGGTGGTCGAGTCTGCAACACTCTTGTTTTTAAATAGACTCAGCCAGTAGTTTATTTAAAGCTCGTTTTGCCAGGTGTGATACCTTCTAATTTGGACGGCACTTGTTTGCTTTCCTTTGTAACTGTTTTATAAACAGTTGCTATAAGTGAAGTTATACCTACTAAGCAGCTACAGCTACTTAAAATGTGCTTGGAGAAAAACATAATTAAATACTGTATTTTTTTTCACTCTTTCTTTAATATATGGCTGATTATTAATGGATTAAAACTCATGGCATAATACTGTTGTAGTATGCAGTATGCATTTCTAACTATACATCTGTGCAGTTACCCAGGTGCAGTCCTTATGTTTCCTTACCTTTTCATTTTGCAGTCCAGATACCAGGTTTTCAATAACATTGAACAGAAAAGACGCTCTCACAGAAAATGAGAAAACATTAGCTTCATATGGGATTGTTTCTGGTGATTTGATATGCTTGCTACTAGAAGAAGCAGATGGACAGCCCAATCTACCTCCTTCGTCTACTTCCCACCCACTTCAGAATGGTCATGAGCCATCCAACCAGAGTCAGGCCAGCAGGCCAAAGGAAGGGCAGAATGAGCAGTCTGACCACCAGAAAGCTCAGGTGGAAGTTCAAAAGAGTGATGAGAGGGTAAGTAGATAAGAATTGAACTGTCAACACAAGGCAAAAAAAAGAAGTTATCTCTGTGTCAGTTGCTGACAGTAGAGAAGATCTTCAGAGTATTGGCTCTTTATACTTGTCTGATACATTGCCAGTTTTTTGGCTATGTACGCTGTGTATACATAGCCAGTTATTTGACTGTGTATGTTCCGTATTTATTTAGCTGAAAGATTCTGACATCTTCCTTCAAAATTATAGTTGATGATGGCAAGAAAGTTTCAAAGCAACTGTCATTGTAGAAGAGCTCTGGAAGTCTGAAAATCTGTTTAACTGGGGCTGTGTGCTTTGCTGTTAATGAAAAAGAAAGTTCCACGGGTGGATTGGCCATGCCAGGCTCATAAGGGTGTCTTGTGCCACTGAGCATTTATGTAGGGTAGAAATAGCTACAGTTCCTTTAGACAGTTTTTTTCATGACCCTTTGGTTAGGTATATCTACTTACGTTTTTCATTCACCACTTCTTTTTGTGTCTGTGGGTGGTTTTATCAGTTAATGTGATAATATGGTATGATTTAGTACAGAAGGAAGCCACGATGAAATCACTCCAGTGATTACTTTTTTTTTTTTCCCAGCTATTTAGGCCTGTTGTGTTTCTGCGCAGCCCAAGTTATTATTTTGGTTACTTGCCATACATGTTGGCTAAATTTAAATAAATGATACTGTAGTGAGTAAATTGCTCCTGTGCATGTTGTAAAAATTCTAATGAAGGTTTAATACGTTATTATCACTTTCTCTTCATGTAGTATAATGCAATAACATGACAGACTTTTATGGAGGGCTTGCATTATAAATATCAAAAGTCAGGGAGGCTATTTGTATAATCCTGGTCTCCAACTGGGATATGAGAAAATGAAGGTGTAATGAATCTCTTCAATATGTATGGGAAATCAGTACAGGAGACTTGGTGCCTGTGTGGACTGGAATAAGAAGACTAGTAATGTTGATGTATATAGATACAATTTTCTGAACAGAGGTATGTTTTTCTTTCCCTTGAAGGCAGGATCCAGCCTAGAATTTCCTTCAGGATTAGTCCCAGAAGATGTTGACTTGGAAGAAGGTACAGGTTCCTATCCCTCCGAACCCATGCTGTGCAGTGAAGCTGCTGATGGTGAAATACCACACTCCTTGGAGATGCTCTATCTTTCTGCTGAGTGTACCAGTGCCACTGATGCCTTGATCGTTCTACTACACCTTCTCATGATGGAGACGGGCTACGTCCCTCAGGTAGGTGTGGAACCAAACAGGAAGTTTCTTGGTCAGTATATGAAAGTTGTATCACACATTCCCATGGTATTTCACAAGATGCATCTGAAGATCTGCTTCTGTCTTTATATGTCACAGAATCATAAGAATGGTTTAGGTTGGAAGGGACCTTAGAGATGATCTAGTTCCAACCCCACTACCTGTGTTAACTTAGGCTTTGGTTCCAATAACTTACAGAGGTGTTGTATTTGAGCATCTATGGCAGTACCTCTGTTACCATGTATAAATTCACCTTCTCCCCTTAAGTTTTCAGATTTGAATTGTATGTTTGCTAATGTATGCCTGAATATCATAGAATCATAGCAAAAAAAGACTTTGTCTCAGATAAGGTGTTTAAATTCTTGTGTCCTTTCTTGCAGTGAGGCTAACTAAGCACATGTGGGGGTTGCTTTAGGTGTCTGATTGGCCAATACCAGTTTAAAAAATTCTGCTAAGTTGATTGCATTCACATAGCGTGAAACATTATCTGAAGAATACATTTGCCACTGGGAAGAATTTTCTTGTCATTGAGTAGGCTTAGCAGTAGGAAAAATGATTGCTTTGCAGATTTCAGGGGAAAGATCGAGTCTTAATTTGTACTTGTGATTTTGTTATCCCACTCTGTGGTTCCATTTGAGCCTTTTCATACTGAAATTGAAAGGAAAAACTGTCAGTCTGCTCAGATGTTCAAATTAATTTCAAGCTATGGTTCTTGAAGTCCTGTCACACATCTAAGCTTCACATAAAAGGTGCAACAACATGTGTTTTATTCAGCAAATTAATGTACATGCGGAAGCTGTCAGAATGCTGAAATGTATGACAGAAAATAAATAGGTGTGAGGGCTCGTAGAACAACCTTTCCTGTCAGAAACTGGGACAGGACAGAAAATTTCTAAAATTCACCTTAAGTTTGCTGTCACTTTGGGGAAAACAGTATGTATTCACAGATGAATTGGAAGGGACCTTAAAGCTCATCCAGTTCTGGACCCTGCCACAGGCAGGGACACCTTCCACTGCACCAGGTTGCTCCAAGCCCCATCCAACCTGGCCTTGACCACTGCCAGTAATAGGTCAGCCATAGCTCCTCTGGGCAGTCTGTGCCAGTGTCTCACCACCCTCACAGGAAAGAATTTTTTCCCAATGTCCAATTTAAATCTGCCTTCTTTCAGTTTAAAGCCATTCCCCCTTGTCCTGTCACTATACGTGCTTATATGTTGTAATTATAGTCTGTGTCGTAATGTGCATTGGGACTAAACTTAAGAGTTGAATTGCACGCATAAATGTGGTATTTCCTAACTTTTAATCCTCCTTTTTTTTAAACCCTTCAGCCTTGGTATGTGGCTAAAGTGTGTCAGTGTGTTATCCCTTTGCATTTTTAGGGGACAGAAGCCAAGGCAGTATCTATGCCAGAGAAATGGAGAGGGAATGGTGTCTATAAACTACAGTACACACATCCTCTTTGTGAAGAAGGTTCTGCTGGTTTGACTTGTGTGCCTTTGGGAGATCTTGTTGCTGTTAATGGTAAGATAGTTGAGTTTTTATCCTGGGTACACAATATCACCAGTGTTTAGTGAGTGAAAACTTAAATGTGTTTCTGTGCACTCTGTTTAAAACTGCAACTTGATTATCACTGTTGCTGAGGTCAAGAGCTGGCACTTCCTAATGCTGATGGCATTTCCTGTATCAGTGTTAACTGTTTCTCTAATCATAACAGGTCAGTCCTTAGGGGATTCAGCTGTCCTTTTCATTGCAATGTGGTAGAAATCTGCTTTTTGTCTCATTTCATAGGAACTTCAGTATGCATTGCCAAATATTAAAAGTAGCTTTGTTCCAGCTACAGTACTTTGTCTTTTCTTATGTTCTTTGCAAGACTTATAAACAAATTCCAGACTATTTGTTCTTTAGCTTTAATTTTTCCTGTAGCACACTGACAATTTACCTGTGGTCTATTTTTTTGAAGCAACTTCCATATCACTTGGAGGGGTGTTTTTGTCTTTTTCCCTATTTTCATATTTTATTGAGCATTAGAAAAATTCCGTGTTTCTGCAGAATCAGTATTAAACTGGGACTTAATTTGAATGTCAAGGTATCCTAAATGAGATTCATTATGTTTGTTTGTAAAATTTGTAAGTGATTGTGCCAATTTGTATGAGCACATATGTTTTTCTCAGAACATGTATACATCCTGGTCAAACTGTTTTAACCTAGGCGGTAAAGGTTAGATTTAGGACAGTGTTACAGCTACCATGCGTGTAGTGTTCATACAGCAAGTTTGTTGAGTCTTTAGTTAATATTTCTTTAATGACTGGCTTATAATAATGGCTTTCTGTATAACTTCTATAGCTGTATTACATCTCGTGTGGTAGAACTGTGCTTATTTTCTGTCACCAAGGTCTTTATTTATTCCCTGCTATTTTATGTTCCATTTTGTTTTTCTGGAATTATTTGTCTAACTGCTTGCTATTAATTGGGTATTTTCCTGAGGGGATATGGTAAGGAGCAAAGTCGAACACCTCCAAAGAGTAAGACATTAGTGAAGTGGTCTTTGTCATCTCTCAATGTGTTTCATGTTTTGAAATGTCTTTTCTTCTTGTATTTGCAGCAACGTTAAAAATCAACAGAGAGATTAAAGGTGTTAAGAGAATACAGCTATTGCCAGCATCCTTTGTTTGCTTTCAGGAGCCAGGTATGGTTGAGCTGTGATACTTGTAGTAAGTAAACTAAAGTAAAGAAGTGACACAGTGGATAAGATTATATTTCAGCAGAGGAACAAAATCAGTATAGAACAGCAAAAAAAAAAGAATAAAAGTGTGATTGCCATTTAGCTTAATTACAGCTTTGTAATAAGAGGAATTCAGATTGTATCCCTTTACATTTGTTGTTACAACAGTTTAAATTTCTTAGATTAGCAGTGTGAGGACAGAACCTCACAAAGCCTGAGGCATCCTTTAGCCCATATGCTTATTTATGAGGTCTTAAGCACATACGTGAATCTCTGGGGCAGCAGTGCTGTATTATACCCCCTTTAAGCCTGACAGCTCAGGACTTCAGAGGCTGATAGTACCTACACTCTTGTTGTGGCACCATAATTGTTACTTACATACTTCTTTTGTCAGAAAAACGTGTGCTGACCACATAGCACTCTCCAGAATGCCAAAATTAGAGGGAAAACTAAGGTGGGGAAGGAGAGAAGGGCAGATAGATGTTGGTCCTTGTGAGCATAGGCCTGAATAGCCTTTTGTTCTCTGAAGTATGTGAACAGCTTTATGGCAGTTGAGGCTGACTCGGGGTGCTACACTGTGTCCTGGGTATCCCCAGTTGCTGATGTACAAGCCTAGCTGAAAGGCTTTAGAAGAATTAACTGAGCACTGAAATGTGTCTGATACAACAATGGAGTCTTCTGGCTCCAGTTTCTTCAGAGAGCAGAGTGGAAAACCCTTCCTGTCAGAAAACTGAGTAGTTTAGTCATTTACAACATAGGCACATGTTGCACGTGAGCTTTGAAATCTGACAAAGGGAGCTCTGACAGCTTAAGAGTTGGTTTGTTTCTGAAGAACTCAAGTATTTCTTCTAATGGTGCTTTTTAAGGCCAAAGGAAAGCCTCAACTGACTGTGGAACTTGTCTAGTTTGTCAGTGAATTACTTACTGCATGATAGTTACATTCTAACTGCATAGCTGTTCTCATCAAGATTACAAGCAGGTTACAGTTTTGTTTGTAAGAAAACCATTCTTCTTCTTCTCTTACATCATTTTTGCATTACAGCCTCCTGAAGTTAAGCTTTTTACCTCTCTTCTTTGACAGAAAAGGTTGCAGGTGTTTACAAAGACCTGCAGAAATTATCCCGTCTCTTTAAAGACCAGTTGGTTTACTCTCTTCTGGCTGCTGCCCGACAAGGTGAGAGAACATATTTACAGTTTGGGCTGGTACTTAATTTTTGAGGATGGAAGGAAGGGGGTCTGTCTGAAGCCTTGAGGGAAGAGTGTTAGAAACTGCTGTGCAGTGATAGAAATAGTAATCATAAAGTAACCTATACATTCTAAAGCAATTATATTAATCTTTGTATCTTAGAAAACATTAATATAGTAGTAATTTCCTGGTTTTAATTTTTGATTGCTCTAGTCTCACTTGAGAGACTGAAGTGGAGTGGCTGTTTTTCACACTTAGCAGTGAGAAAATCGCATCACAATAACTTCATGGCAGTAGTTCTGTAGTTTTGATCCGTATCTTCGGCAAAGCAGAAAGACTTACATTGCATCATATTTGAAACGGTCTTCTCAGTAACCTGTCATTGAGGGTTTGGAAAGGATGGTAGGAAGTAACCCAAGCTGGTGTTTGTGTAGCAGTAGGATGCCAGGCTTTCTCTGCATAGGTATTGCCATAAAAGTTCTCAGCTTCAAAGATTACTCAGTAGAATTCCCTCTAGACTTCAGTGCGGGAAGGTTTTATGTGAAGTATGTGCTCTGTATTTAATGTGGTTTCTGTGGGCTCATGAAATTGGGCAGGTCTTTTCTCTTTTTTGTGAGCTATCCCTTTGTTCTGTAGCCCATAAACATAGTTAGATGTGTGGAATGTTTCTGAGGCTTAGTGGCCAATAGCAGTCAGTATAAAGTGCCATCTGCCCTATTTTGTGCACTCTAAATGCACTTAGAATTTCAAGAGATCTGTTCTACAAGAATTCACATCAGTGCTTTGAGAAAGTTGGTGTAACTCAGGCATCAAAGGGAAATGATTTAAGGGAAAGATTATAATGTTCTTTCTTTTAGGGCCCTTAGAAATAAACTCTGCACTGTTTATGTAATGCTTCTGTTTCTCTACTTTGTAGCTCTGAACTTGCCAGATGTGTTTGGGTTAGTCGTCCTGCCTCTTGAGCTCAAGCTTCGGATTTTCAGGCTTCTGGATGTCCGTTCACTCATCTCTCTCTCTGCTGTTTGCCATGACCTTTACACAGCTACAAATGACCAGCTTCTGTGGAGGTTCATGTATCTGCGAGATTTCCGAGGTAACACTGAGACACATGTTTTTGTAGTTACATTCTCATGTGAACAGAGGGGTTATGTCTGACAGATTTTGATAAGATGCTCCTCAGGCAACCACTTCTTATTCTTAAACACTATGACCAAACACAGTCATTTGTGGTGCTAACCATACAGATGGTCAGGTGTAATTCATGTGAATGCAGAGTTTTCTGCTGGGAAAACTGTTGACAATCTGCTGAGCCATTACTGATGAACCACATAGTTCTTCCTGTTGTGTGGTGCAGACTTACCTTGTTTTCACCTGTTTCCCCTGCTACCTTAGTGTACCAGCTGTTGCAGATACTAGGAAGTAAAGAGATATTTCTGCTATAATTTCTCACAATAGATTGAGGAAATAAGGTGATTGGGGAAGTGCTGTCAGAAATCAAAGATGGGACAGTGTTTGTGGGATTTCTCTGCTTAGTAACTTTTGGAGGTGATGCTTTATGTAGAATAGGTGTGCAAGTAGGCTACCTATTGAATGGTCCTGGAGCTTTTATATTTTTTAATATACTTTTATCTTTATGAAAAATGCATTGACCAAAAATTTTTCATCTCTTGATTCTTTGAATTCTGACAAGACTCTGGATATCTGTAGCATTAATGCTGCTTAAAACCAAAATGGATTGCTCTTCTTAACTTTTCACTTCTCACTGTAGATCCTATTGCAAGGCCTCGTGACACAGACTGGAAAGAAGTAAGTGCCTTTTTTTATATAATCTCTTGGAGATTAGTATCCATGGGTTAACCTGAGAATAAAGCAAAAGCTTTGGGAGGCAGAACTTTGAGTTAACTTTTAGTTTAAACTGTGTTGCTCTGTGTACATGTGTTGAGTTTGGTCAGAGTAGAACACAGCATCAAGTTAGATGATGCATGTCCAAATTGTGAGTTACAGGTCTTCCAGAGATGCTGTGTTTGGCCTTTGTCAGGTGGGGGAGTTGCTGTTCTGGGTTTTCAGACTGGTGAGGAGTGCTTTTCTGCTGCAGAACTGAATGCTGTTGCTGAAGCTGGAATGCAAAGCAGTTACAGAGCTTTAAGATGCCTTTGTTTTCTGTCTGCAGCTATACAAGAAAAAGTTGAAACAGAAGAAGGAGGCCCTCAGATGGAGGCACATGATGTTTCTGCCCCCTACACCACATCCAATCCCCTTTCATCCCAACCCATTCTATCCTAACCCCTTTCCTCCCAACCCATTCCCATCAAACCCAATCTATCCCCCAATGATCATTGGTGGAGAATATGATGAAAGACCAACACTTCCATATGTTGGAGACCCAATTAACTCACTCATTCCTGGCCCAGGAGAATCACCAGCCCAGTTTCCCCCATTCAGACCACATTTTGACCCAATTGGTTCTTTGCCAGGAGCAAACCACACACTTCCAGGACGAGCTGGTCCCAGTGACAGGTTTCCACCTAGACCCAGCCGAGGCCGCCCCATGGACATTCGCCGTGCATTCATTTGATTGCTGCATTTTCCTTCAGTGAGTTTTCTAGTCCCTGAGCTTGCTTTTTAACTACAGGAGATTGCAAATTGCAGGCACTAACATCTGCCTTCTTTTCTGATTGTAGCAAGAACATGTGTGCATGGTAATGTTTCAGCCACTAAGGCTGGGTTTGTTTTATGCTCTGGTAGTACTATACCACCTGACACTAAGCTCTGTTTCACAGAGCTACAACGTAGGACAGTTTGTTTTGCTCTCCCCTGCCTTTGCCCTTAATACTGTGAAGTGCTACTTAGAGACCAGAAGGATACCGGCCAAGTAATTTGCTGCATCAGATAAAGAGCACTTTAAATACAAACCCTATACTTGTCTGTCTTATTTGAAGAGTTTTATTAAATTGCCAGGAAAAATGATGTTGTTTTAAAGTCAGCCTGGCTAATAATCTTTATTAACAAAGAAATGTACAGAGTTCCACATAGACCAGGATACTGCCACTGTTATGGTAGATGTGGGTTTGTGGAAATTTTCAAAGATGTTTCCTTTTTTCTTTAATGTTTTATTAGGTAAAAAGCATTTTTGTATTGTTACTTAATACAGAAAGTATACAGGGAAGGGGTTTTCTTTACAATGGAAATAATAGAACACAAATCAATTTGTTTTACAAACAACTGAGTAAAGTCATGCTACAGTGCAACTCAGAAGTCTGAACAGAAGCAGAGCAATTTTACAAAGAGCCAGCAGCAAAACTTTAGTCTTCTTCCTTGACTTTACAAATAATACATGGCTGCACTTACTGTGTGTGAACTGAAATTGGTGCAAAAGATCAATCTTTTCTCCTGCCTAACTTAAGGAATTGAATAGGTTGACCTGGTTGCAGTGGAAATGGGAACCCAGCAGGAGAAGTGGAATCAATTCTGACTTAGCTGCAGTAAATGCCATTTAATTCCGTTGCTTGAGTATCAAAATATATCTTGAGGAAGCGTGTTGTAGGAATTTATGAGCACCTTTCAAATGTTGTCTTATTAACTAATGAGCAAATGACAAGACCACTGTTAAAGTTGTCTGATCAGACCTGCAGGCTGATGCTGGAGCTCAATTAAAGGAAGACTGGAATGACTAAACTTTGCTAGAACTTCTTATTTCTTACATATTTTTTTAAGATGGATTGACCTCAGTGTTCCTGTAAATGTAAATTGTACTGATGACTGTTGTGACAGCTGATACTGTTTTATAAAATATTTTTGGAATTCCAATAGTGAAAATGGAATGACATTTCCTGTTAAATACAAGCTATTTAATGGGTAATACTTACGTGCTTTTTCAGGTGATATTTTAGTGATTCATCATCTTGTTTTGTATAAAATCAGCTGACTTCAGTAGGGCCAGGAAGTTTTGCCGTTAACTCCAGTGGAAGTAAAATATAATACCTATTTTGCTGTCAAAAGTTGTATTGCTTCTTTCTTCCTTTTACTATTTCACAGCAATGGCATGTGCAAATCCTGCCATAATTAAGCACCTAAGAATCTGGGGACACCGGTTTCCCTTCAATACCAAGATTAGCTTTAATTTTTAACACCTTCCTGCAGTGGTTGAATTGCCTTGTTCCAATGAGTGTGCCCCATGCTGCTCTATAGTTGAGTCCTCCCTGCCATGAAAACAGCATCATCATACTTCTGTCAGGCTGATGCTACAGGTTCTGTTTATCCTGATTTTGTCATCTGAATGCTAGTTTTTGAAGACGTGTACTCAGCCTTTTTACAGGTACACCGCTAAGTGACCTGAAGATATTCCTTCCTGTTCTTCATTGTGGCTTCACATTATAGTAAGGTTATTGTGAGCGAAAGGTAAAGGGATGTGACTTAGGCTGAACTGTCAAGTTCCCTAAAGAGGTGTCCCCTTCATTCCTGAAACAGGATTTGAAATATATCAAGTGAGTATCTTGGGACCAACACTGTAAAATTAGATGACAAAATAGAGGAAATACTTGAAAATTAGCTCAACAGCTCTGAAGTCAGGTATGCATGTCATTACTGTTTGAGAAATCACAGAAGGTGACATGCCTGAAGGTGTTTCTTACCTGTACTGTTCACCTCCATCCAGCACTATTGCTTAACAGTGCTGGATACGTGTGGGTGCGCTTGGAAATAAGGAGCTGTAGTCCTTGGCTTTTCTATTTATTGTTTTAGCTTATTCAAGAAACTTAAACCAACTAGATGGTATAACTGGGTCGTACGTGGGGTGTAAGGTCTTGCATACCTCCCTGTCGATAGTGAAATGGGAAAATAGCATTGCAGTTACGAGCAGGACTGCTGTTCTTCTGAACCTTGGCTTTATACAAGACTTGTAGTTGCATGGGAATCTGTGACATTCCTCTTGAAATACCACACCTAGGTATTACAAGGAAGTTAAGATGTGTCTCAGGCTGTATCTAAACAGCAAAATAGAAACTGATTTTTCAGGTGGATCCAGCTCCTTGGGCTGGATCCAAACAAATTATTCTTGTTTCCTGGCTCCCAGGTGAAGAAAATGGAGGCATGCAGGACAAAAGGGAAGCTCTGACCAGATGCTCCGTTTTCACAGCTGTGTGAGATCCCAAGGCATGTTCTGGGGCATTGACTGCCCTGCTATTTAAATGCAACTTCTATTCACTGACTTTCCTGTTGCTTTTTTACTGCCCCTAACTCCAGCTGTTCTATTTAAGTGCTTGAAATACCTCTTGGGTAGACTTTAGTTCCCCATTCATATAAAGTATATCCTTTTTGTTCCTCCCTCTCTTGCTTTGTTAGACTGTAGGGGTTTTAGAATAGGAGCCCTGCCTTCAAGGGTATAACACAAATATGTGATGATACCGTTGTGAATCTCCTGCTAGCCACAAAATCTAGTTGTAGATTGAAGTGTACTGTTGAAACACTTACAGAGCATGTAATAGAACTTTGTCATTTTGACTTGGGAAATTGACTCAATGCTTTCATTAGAGCACTTTCTATGGCTAGAACTGAAGTTGCTTTTCAGCATCTATAGAAGTAACCAGCCTAAGCTGAGAGTGCCTGTTGCTCTCACTGGTTTTTGCAAGGTATAGCTAGGAGGAGGGGGAATGCTATTGTTTGCTTCTCCCTAGAAAGATGACAGCTGGAAGCTGAAAGCAAATGAAGAGATTTGAGCCGCTGCTGGGTATGAAGTCAACAGTGCTATCCTGTAGCTGTGGTCTGTTGGATTACACCGCTGCTGTGTTGAAATGCAGCATCAGCAAATGATCTGACTGTTGTGGTTTTGGTGATGAACTAGGGTCGATTTATGGGGCTGTGCCATACTAGTCACTGGTTACTTATTTTTTGTCTAGGTTGTGTTGGTGAGAGAGACATAAAAAGATACAGGGGATAGAGCAGTTGAGGATTCTGACAGTAAACTTTTATTTCTGTCTTTATCTCTGGTGGCTAGTAGGAAAAGGCATAAATCATGCTGAGGGAAGTGTTACAGAAGGAAATCCTCTCCCATCAGGCTTGTATTACCTCCTCTGCATATAGTGGAGCCTGTTAATCTGCTATTGTTTTTGCCAGTGGGACAGTGCCTGCTCAAGGCCATTTGTCACTCTTATTGCTCCTGCAGACTGCAAAACAGCAGGGTCTGTTTTTTTTCTCAGTGACATGTATTTATGATGCTGTACTGTGAGATGCTTAGCAAACCTGGAAAGACAACACAGAACTGGGGGGAAAATGAAACAATCAGGGAACAGGGTGGTTCTGTAATACTGAACTTGAGGTATAAATCATCGATCCAGATGAGTCTCTCGAGAGCCTCCCAACCTGGAAAAGCTATGCTGTTACTAGCCTGAAAGTGGTCACAGGTCACAAAAGCCATTATATGTGTGAAGGACTGCTCAGGGGTAGGTCATACAAGTTCCAGATGACTGCATTGGATTTAGATGTTAGTTACAGGTGCTATGCATGAAGGAATTGCTTATTTGGCTTTATTCCCACCAGTGAATCATAAGATCCTAGATGGTAAATGAAGCTGTTGCTCTTGTTGCTTTGGGGATCTCCCTGTTTCAGTGACAGCAAAGATCTGTGCCGTTAGCTCAAATGTTTTTAACTTACTGACATCCCTGCCTCCTGGAGCATTCCGAAGTGTCATCAAAGTGAAGTTGCTAATGGAAGCACAAAGCCTAAAGTCTGGCCTTGAAGCTGTATGTGTGGTTTGTGACTAAATACTTGACAAAAATTGAAGAAAATTTGAGGAGGTGGGATGGGACTGTATCTGCATTAGGTGTCTTCTAAATAGAGCACCATGCAAGGGGTGGGTTCTCAGCTGGCAGAAATTGCCATAGATATGTTGTTTTACCTAGGGTGGGTATTTTCAATCATGCTTGTGTCCTTGCTGGGTTTTTTGCCTGGTTCTAATATACTTCGTAGTCCTGGGGTAAAGACAGGACTTTATGATCTTTAAGTCTTTTCAACCTAGGTGATTCTGTATGCTCATACACAGCTTCATTCTTATAAAAGCACACCAAAAAGATCCATCTCTGTCTCCTCTGGAAGAATAAGCCTTGGAGGTGGTCAGGGAGGACTAATACTGTTCATTACCTGCTTGGGACAATCCCAACGTGCCCTCCCATGGCTTGGTGTCTTTGGATGAACTCCAGCTTATCTTATTCGGAAAGGATAGTTTGCCTGTTCTATTGCAGGTTTGTCACCCTGCACTCATTTTTGCAATCCCCCCAGTCAGTCAATGGGAGTTCAGGGAGGGAGACAGGATTTCACTCCATCTCTCTGTGCATTTGGTATTATGGAACACTCAGCACACAAGTATGTGCACTTCATCAGCTCTGCTATTAATTAAGCATGTTCCTGGGGGACATACTTAGCCAGATGTGACCAAGTCACCAAAGTGCTTGGAGTTTAGCTGGGTTTTGTCTAGAGTTTTTGTGAAATGTGAATGTGAATTCCGGTGTTTCCAGGGGCAGGGGAAAAAGTTGGGTTTTTTTTATGTTGAAGGCCCATTTCTCAGGTTATTTTGAGCTAGGGCTACAGGGTTAGAACATGACATTTTTATCTCAGAGCTCAGCCATCATGTGCAGAGGACATAAATGCAAGGCATGAAACAGAGATGTTTTATCTGTTACGAGCAGAATGATCTGGAACAAACCAGCAGTCCATCTGGATGACCTGCTCATGTGATCTTTGGTGCTTAATGATGCCTGGTTCTGTATTTAACTTGAAATGTTGTTTTGCTCTGAAAAGTGACTCTTTATAAAATTGGTATCATGAACTTTCACAGGTCACTGTCTCCATGCTCAAGCATGCTTACTTTATGAGTCAATGAATACTTATTCTTGACTCCATCTTTGCACATCTATTTCTGAAGTAGACCTATATTTTTTCAGTTATTGGGAGTTACCAAATTGTACTGACTATCTACTAACCTACTTTGCACTGTTATAACTGTGGTGATGCCAGAGGGGTTGGCAAGAGTTAAAATCTGCTTTAGAGCTCGGTTGTTTGAGCAGATGTGATTCTGATAATGCACAAAACCCCCAATGAAATAGGGCCGTTTTTATACAGTCACTTTTCAGACCATTATTATTGGAATATTTTCTTTATATTAAAACAAATATGGTTTTCCAAATTCCATTTACCCAGACGTTAGTTTTAATTCGCTGGGTACCATTGAGAGTATTCCAGGGTGACATCAGGTATGCTGATATGAAGAGTGAGGGCGGGCAGAAGCACGGATCAGCTGCAGGGCTGTTAATCAGAAAACAGGCTAGCAAATGATTTCCTCAGGTTTCGGATGGTCTCGGCTTTTGCTTCATCTTCATTGGCGTTTCCCCGCTGAGATGATTCAGGTATGCTGAAGGTGTTTGTCAGGGACTGTGATTTGCTGAAATGGAAAAGAGAGTTTTGACTCAAGAGAAGGTGGTAGTTCAGAGCTGGTTACTGATGCTTTGTGTTCCATCACACAAATTCAAGGATGAAAGGAAAGGTTAGCAAGGAGAATCCCTATATGCAAAGACATACAGGAATGGGGGAGCCGGTGGGTGTGTGTGTGTTGAAGAGGATGGGACATGGGCAAGTACCTCCAATATCAGAGTCCACATTAGTGTTTATGAAAACACCTGACTAAAAGTATTCAGTTACCACTGTGTAACTGCTGTGAGGATCATTTAAGAATAGAGAAGAATGGATTCATACTGAGGGTCACCTGTGTCTTTTATCAGCTGTACCATGATTGATGCTCCTGTCCTTTCAGATGTGAGAATGTGAGAGGTTTGGCAAGTTGTTAGGCATATCACCTGCAATATGTCCTGTTGCTTGCCCCCCCCGCCCAGCATGTCTGCTCTGTCAGCTAAGTTATGCAAGTCTTTTGGTTGGCCACACTGCTCCTGCTGGGTGTTTATATGCTAGTGTTTAAGTTCAGATCAGGGTTGTGCTTTTGAAGTAAATCTCTCAATTTTCCCTATTACCATGCTTTGTCACTGAGTGGCTTCTTCTGGTCAGTAATAGGCATTCAGCATAACACCAGACCCTAAATTAAGGTACCTGGAATATGTATAGTGTGGCATTTTCATCCTTAGCACCAGTATTTTCATCCTTAAGTGCACTGCTCTTGGTTTATTTTGCTAATATAGACATCATCACTGACAGCCTGTTCCAGAACATCACTCTTCTGCTGCCTAGAAACTGTCTTCTGATTCCTAGCCTATATTTTGTTCTGGCCTGATCATACCAATTTGCTCATATCTACTTGTCAGATTTTTGTCAACACCAAACATTTTTTTGCCCATCTTTCTGCCGTGGTGCCAGCCAGGTACGTTCCATGAAAGGTGGCATCAAAGGCTGCTACCAAAGATCCACAATAATTCAGTGGTATGCTTTGCTCCAGAAAAGCTCCTAAACATATATTCACCATCTGGAGTTCTTTGTACCATAGAATCATAGAATAGCTATCCTAAGGGTTGGAAAGGACCTTAAGATCATCCAGTTCCAACCCCCCTGCCGTGGGCAGGGACACCTTCCACTAGATGAGGTTGCCCAGATTTCTGTCCAGCCTGGCCTTGAACACTGCCAAGGATGGAGCAACTTCTTTGGACAACCCATTCCAGTGCCTCGGCACCCTCACAGTAAAGAACTTCTTCCTTATATCTAACCTGAACTTCTCCTGTTTAAGCTTAAACCCATCACCCCTTATCGCTACAGTCCCTGATGAAGAGTTGCTCTCCAGCATCCTTGTACCAGCTCAGGGTGCTTTTTGACAGCCTTATTCTAATATCTACGGATATTACCAGTGTAACAGAGCACCTACTTCAGATGGGGGTGAGGGGTGGGTTGCTGCTTGGATGTTTCAGTGGGGCTTGGCTGGCTAGGAGCACGGCCTTGAGCAGGAGGTCTAGGCTGCTGCGAAGGGAACACGCCTGCCTTGGGAGCCTGGACTGGAGAGGACCCAGTTGCTGATCGGACTTGCTGTGGAGATCCAGGTGACCTTTGCTGCTGAGGGGAAGTGGACTGGGGGCTCTGGGGCTGCTGTCCTTGAGGGGAGAGCCGCTGCTGTGGAGGTGCGTTTGTCCGTGGAGGCTGAGATCCCTGAGGCTGGCGGGGGCCACCTGAAAGGAACATGTAGACATGAGGAATTGAACATGGTGGGCAACAAAGAGCATCTCTATGCAAAAATGGGTTTTGATAAGAGAGAAACTCTTCAGAGTAGCTTCATGCAGAAGGATAAGGGAAAACCTCTGTTACAGGCCTAAAACTGGTGTCATGCCTTTGTCTCTAGAGTTGTCCATTCCACTGCCTCCTTCAGTGCTAAAGAAGCTCTGCCATTCTCCCCCAGGTGTGCTGTACTCACTCAATGTGCACTTAATGTGCTGTACTCTTCCATGTAACCAGTATTTCTTAGCCTTGGCAAGTGCTTCCTGCATTGGGAAAGAAGAATCACTGCAGAACCAACTCTGTGCAGGAAATGAAAGCTGAATGTGCTGGTTTGTGTCAGCAGTCCTTTCATGGGCCCTGCAGTTTGACGTGAGACTGCACACCCTATCGCTATCCATACATCTGTTCCCGTATTATCATCAGGTGGCTTCAGCCGTATTGATAGCAGACTCTCAAAGCTGAAGAGGATGTGGAAAACAACTGGATGTAACATGAGGAATTGCTGGATGTGACAGGTAACAGTGTGAGAAACTGACAGAAGTTAGAGAGCATTGTGAGGGCTGGCTGGACTTCATCGGTGGTCAAGGGGAACTTAACGCGAGAGAAACACTTCACAGGGAATTGAAGGGGGAGTATTGGAGACAGACTGCAAGGCCAATGATTCCTACAAGTAACACTAGGTAATGCCAGGATTACATCGGTGCATCTGGTGTCTGAAATACTGAATTTTGGATGCAGCAAAACTGTGATCAATGAGGAAAAGATTATTAGAGGTGGGTGTTGATTTGGTAGGAGATTAGAGTGAAGAAAGGAAGGTATAAAGGTGACAAAAAAGAAAGGGCTAATTGGTTATGTGAACTGACTGGTTGGTGTGGTCTGGGTACCCGTGGGGCAGACCTGTGCTTCATTACCTCAGCATAAATCAAGACAGTAAATCACACCCCTTGTTGTGACCGAGAAACATGAGTCAAACCAGCTCCTTTTGTCAGGAGGAGCTAGGGGTGTGCTCCTCCTGACAGGGGAATACCTAGGCATCACCACACTGGTGCCTGTCCCAGGCCTGGCAGCACTAGCATGTTCCCATCCCTTCTTAACGCTTGCAGCTCCTCCAGCTTTGTGCAAACACAAATATACCCTGTGCCCAGAATCCGGCTCCAGTGCCAGTTCAAGTGGCCTCGTTTGGCTGAGCCAAGTCCTACCAGCAGTTATCAACTGGATCCTTATCAAGTTTTCATCCACTTTCTGAGCTGCTGGGGATTATGACAGTGACTGCTTTAAAAGCACGCTGAATTTGCTGCCTGCTTGTCGCTGAATTGGAACAGTGATTGAAACCTTTATCCTGATAGCTTCTATTTAGAGGGCAAACTGGTCTCACCGTTTGCACTGTCATGGGACCTAAAGAATGGTACCTTGAGGAGGAGGCCGTGGTTGGGACAGTTGTCCAAGCTGAGGTCCAGTCTGAGGTTTCATTGGTGCAGGCTGAACTTGTGGAGGCTAGAGGGGGAAAAAAAGCCATTCCAGTTAATACAGAGTCCCCAGAGAGAAGCCCTGAGGTAACACAGGAACTGCAGAGTCATGAAGCGTTCCTTAGATACACACACACGCAGCATCTGGCTGGTAAAATCTTGCGGGACTGAAATGGAGAGCTGAGTAATAAAGAGCGCAGAAGTTGTTTGCTCACAGGGAATAACAATGAAGTTACAGTTTAGAATGCTTTTTAGGCAACTGGGAATTACCCAATGTATCAGGCCTGAGGGGGTCTCTAAGTCCCTTCTCCCACTCTGGACAGTTGCCAGCACCAGATGTTCCAAAGGAAGGTGGGATGAACCGTGGAAACATCTATGGAATAATCATCTCTTTACCCTAAGGGGTCTTCTCTTGATTGCTAATAAGCAGGGGCCAGCTTCAACTGTGAAACTTGAAGCTTATTATCTGCTCCACAAAATCTCTGCAAACATTCCAGATACCTTGTTTTTCTGTTACACCCAGACCCTTTGAGTCTTGCTCAGCAATCAGCCTCACTGCCTTCCCCATTTCTTAGCTCTGTTGCTTTGTCCTGAGTTTTGAGAATACTTCTCACAACCTGCCCTTCCTAGGCCATTCATTATTTTGCAAACCTTTACTGCCCTCTCTCTCATTCACCTCCTTTCTAAAGCCAAGAGACTGAATCCCTTCAGTCCTTCCATGGGAATGTTTCCAAGCCCCTAATTGTTTTCATCACCCACTTCTCTTTCCCAGCTTTGTGATTTCTTTCTGCAGATGCCAGAGGCAGGTCTGCTTACGTTATTCCAGATGAAGCAGTATCTGGGTTCTCTGTAAACATCACTGGCTCACTTCTCCTGCATCCTAATTTCCTGCCTTTCCCTTGTCAACACAACTACAGTCTGAGCAAGGGTTTTCATTAGCTTATATGTGACAAAGTCTTTCTCAAGGGGAAGGGCTAGTGCCACTTGCAAGGTCCACAGTTTATTTATGTCCTCCCTCTCTCTACCCCCAGCTTACCTTACCTTTCAGTCTTCCATATGGAGTTTCGTTTGCTGTTGTGATAACTGAACATGTATAGTTCTGTCAGATGTTCTTCACGGCCCTCCCTGGTCTTGACTAATGCAAATAAGTAAGTGCCATCTGCACTTTCTTCTCTCTCACTCTTACTCTTTTTGACAGATATTTTAGTAAACAGATTAAGCAACACAGAACTGTTGCACAAAAGGCTGGTCTGAAGTTAACAAAAGTCTGAGTAAGCCTATTGCACAAAGTTGTTTACGAGAGCAGGGGAAGCTGGAGACAGATAGGCTGGTATGTGCCAGATTATTTACAAGGAGAGCACAATGATAAAAGGGTCTTCAATGCTCCTGGAAGGTCAGGAGAATGAGCTAAATGATTCTGGAAATGGGAAGAAATGTTTCACAGTTGGAAGCATTGAAATGAGTTTTAACTAACATGAATGTGATGAGGCTGCCAGGCCATCTTTTAGGCTCTTTTATCTGGAACTTGAAAATGGACAAGGAGAAAAATCTGGGAATTTTCCATTCGTGGCTTGTAGTTCTACATAGCTTGGGAAAATAAACCTTGCCTTGGCGTTGGTGGAAATTTACTGTCCTAATGCTGTGAGATATTCTGATTAGACCAGCCAAAGAGAGGGGATTGGAGCTCATATTCACCTCTGCTGGTTTTGTCTACAACCAACCAACACTTCTCAGAGATGAAGGGGTGAGGGCCAGCCCAAGATCTTCTGTCTTTGGAAGGGAAACAGTGAGGGGAAAGGATGGAGGGGGGGAAGAGGCAAGGGGAGGACTGCAGCTGGAACCATGAAACCAGGTTTCATGTTGTAGGTATGAAAATCCATTTGTTATTAACATCCTGTCCTGGTCTCCACCCAAATATCAACATGGCCTGGCTTAGTCTTTTAAGTTAAAATATATTAAAAAGTTATACTTTAAAGTATCAACTCTGGTAACTGTTTGCGAGAATTAAAATCTCTCACATCAATATCTTTACCTCAGGTCAACTTCTGCTCTCAAATTAAACTTTGCCTTTTAGTCTCTCCCTGCTTGATTTAATAGGTCTTGTATATTACCTTGCCTAAGGCTTTCCGACATCCTAGATGCATTTTGACTGATTGCCTGCTATCTACCACTTTCTGAGAGAATTTGCGTAGAAAAGGGTAAAAGAATCAAAAGGAAATTAACGGGACATTTTTCTTCAAGTGGTAAATGCTCTTAAGCTGAGGTTCTGTCAGTTTATTTATTGTCTGAGGTAATTCATAAGGTCCATGACTTCTCTACATTTTCCTACTTTTTCAACTTTTTTGAACATGTATTTTGTATTTACTGTACACCGATCCTCTGGAGCAATAACTGCTGCTAATGAAATGGTACGGGATTTTTTTCTTGGCAGCTTAGTCACTTCCTAAATTCAGCTCATTGGATGTAGCCATCTGGGTTGGGGGGCTTAATAGATTTAAAAATACAAGTCATCACTGATTCAGTCACTGTTTTTGTTCTCTCCCCTCTCTTTCTTATCAGGAAAGCCTGTATCTAGCTTAGTAAGTTCCTCACTTTCAGCAGTTAAATTTAGTAGAGTCTCAACGCTGTCTCTTTTGCCTTCCTTTTCTCTCTTAACTTTGGATGATCCATGAAGCCCACCAATTCTTTGATAGAGTTCCATCTTCAGATGAACTCAAAGAATCTGCTTCATTCTTTCCTCTACCCGCTCTTCAAAATCAGTTTCTATCCTTTTCAGATTTCCTTTTATTATTTGCATGGTGGTGCTTAAAGGTCTTCTTAAATAGCAGATTTCCAAATTTGGAAGATACTTTTACCTGTTTGTCTTGAATGTTTGCAACTTAACTCTAGATGTTTATTTCTTGCATTCCTGGTTCAGAACATCAGAAATGCATATATGCATTCTGGGAAACAATGGTCTCTCAAATAACGTCCATACAGTTTTACTTCTAATGCTAGGGAGTTGATTAACTTTCTATCTGCTTGCATCATACTGTTACTTTTTGATATCTGCCCCTTGGACATCAAACCTAATGGTACATATTCACTTTCTGAATTTGTACCTGGGTGTTTCTTACGGCTAGGCCAGGTTGTTGTTCCCTGTTGTGCTTGGATTTTGCAGTTACAGGAAGCAGACACCTACAGAGATGGACAGCTCTCTCTGAATTGCTGTCGTGTGATTTGACTTGCTGCTTCATAGCTGTAGTCTCACATTATTATGACTTGTTGCTTTTTCCATCTCTGTCAGTGCCGTGTACTCAGGTTCATAAATTTTCAGCTTTTCTTGATGTAGAGACTAGTACAGACAGCTCCAATAATATGTATTAATATTCTACACATACCCATCAGATACCCAAGAGTTCATATTTCTATGTGTTCAGTACTGTTGTCTTTGTATTCAGGATTGCCATTTTTCTTGGTTCTGTGAGTCTTCACCTGTAGCTCTAGTTCCACATCTCACGAGCCTCACATGTAATTACTTCTCTGCACATCTGTAACTTTGTGTTATAGCATTGCATTGATTTTTGTAACGTGTGCAGTCACTGCAATGTTTGTTGTACCAAGATCTTTGTCTATAGCAAAATACTCTAGTTAAATGTTTGTGGTTTTAATTTTCTTGGGTTTCTATACAGATATTTGTAGGTTGTATTCTTCACGAAGACCCTTCTCTTATTTAACTCTATTTGACATGCTATCCCTCTAAGACCATTTGTTTTGTTCTTATTTTGGCCATATTTTAGGTCTGTTGTAATCCAATCCAATCCTGTACCAGTATATACAGACATAGAAAGCAGATGCATCATCCATGTTCTCAGTTTCTGTTGGCTTCTCCTTTGCTCTTAGTTTATACACTCTCTATCTTGGCTATTTCAGATGGCAGTTGTTGATTCCACTTTGCCCAGTAAATCCTATCCCCTCTGTAACACTTTCCCTGCTTCAAAGCATTTTTAGTGTCTATTAAATGTATACCTGCTCACTCTAGCTAAAACTTGGAGTTTGCCATGAACACCCCTCATGCTGGGCATCTGGTTTAGCAGGAGTGTCATATGACAAAGGCAGAAAGCTAAAAAGTGCTTTTTCCCATTTTTTGGTCTCAAGTGGAAATGGAAGCTGTTCAGTTCATTCCAGTCAACATTATCCCTCAGCCTGTTGACTCTCCTTTCCTTTCTTTTGTACAGATTTGTTGCCCTCAAACCTTTGTTCTTGGCTCCCTGCTAGATACTGAAAGAGGTGCAGCACATACACCCAGAGACACAGATTATGTTCTGGTGTGTTTCATTTATACAGAACTGCCACTGGAAAATGTTACTAAGGTTGAGTGCATTTGATACTCAAAATAAATAGACATGAGAAGCAGTAAGGGGGCAGTTTTAAATGCAAAAATTACAGGTTCTTACATTAATTTAGCATTAGTCAAGCCTCCTTCTGATGAAGAGGGTGAAGGAAATCTCCAAAGGAGAAAGGCTGCATTAAGGAATGGAGTAATTCTTGGTGGATACTCTCACTTCTGTTCTGGGAAACACAGATTTTCATTAGGGATGCAAAAACTGGAATGAAACCTATCCTGAGGCATGGTGTTAGATGGAGATGAAGTTGGGTGTTACAAGAACCTCTAAAAATGGCTGTCTTTGGTATGAATCTATGAATTCAGCAAGCCAGAATATCTAGGTACACGGACCACACTGCTGGAGTGATGTCACAATTATATGGAAGGAGAGGAAGGGAGAAAGATGTGTTTCTTAGACTTCGGAGTCTATGAGAGACTTCTTTGGAAGAGCAGGAGTCAATCTATCCAGTACACTCCCACATGGGACTGTTTGATCACTGAGATGTCTGACTGCCTGATACCTGAGGGGAGCAAAGAGAGAATAAAAAGTTCAGGAAAACAACTTGGCCATAAGGTCTCTCTCTTCAGTCATACCCAAGGCCTCAGTGGTGACGGTGTAGATCCAGCAGTGGTGACAAGTTGAGTCATTTTGGAGACAACCAGATCAGCTATGAGTTGTCTGTCCTCTTCCACATGCTCCCCAATCAGGGGCATTGAGCTGTCCATCACCTGCCACAGGAGGGAAGAACAACACTTAGTAAGGAGGTTTTCAGGTGGAAGATGCCTCTTTCAACTCACCTCTCACATTAACCTGTTTTGTGTCTCAGAATCCTTGCCAAAACCTGTAGTCACCACTCCCCTCCACGCTGAAACATGCTCGACTTTCTGAGGCATGGGATTTTGCTTAGGATTGTTTGGAAATGGCATGTACTTCCTCTCCACTCCCCATCTTCCTTCCATCCATGACTTGGAAACCAAGCCAAGACTTCTGCTGGCTGGAGGCTTTCTAAACCAACTAAAGGCAAACCTTCTTCACACATCCTGAGGAGATGCCCCTGATGGATGAGGTCTCTCTAGCATTGTCCCACAGTATTTGGGGGGGGCACATTGCAGCAGAAAGGGCCACAGGAGAAGGGAAACAATATGTATCAAAGCCTGAGGAGATGGGAGTAACAGAAACTGGAGTAAACTAGGAAACATTTGGAATTAATCAGAAAGCACTGCACCCTTAGAGGGGAAATAAATGCTGCAGAGGTGTAATGAAAAGGATGTCACCAAAACAACAGCACCCAATGCAGGAAAGTAAACTTATTCTCTGCTTGTCTTCCTGATATGGTTGTGATATGACTGCCAGACAGGTACTACAAGTGTGCTGGGTAAAGTTGGGAAGCAAGACTAAGAGCATAGGGAAAGGAGAACTGTCAAAGGGTCTTTGAGGTAAGAGATGGCGTGATAACAGCAGTAATAAGTAAAGCACAGCAGACCCTCAGCTGTATAGCAGCCCTAAACATGATTTTCAACAGTTCATCATAAATCAAGTGCTTTGCAAACATTAGCTAAGTCCCACAGGAAGAACTGCACTATGATGAAGTTAAGATTCAGCTGGAGTAAATAGAATTGTACAAAAATATCAGGGTTGGAAGAGTTTATTTTATTTTGCTTTTATTTTTAAACCAAACATTAAAAGCCGTGGAAATGCAGAGTTGAGGGCTGTATTGCTCAAGAAAGTCACTGACTCACGCTCAGATAACAATCACAAGTGCACTCCACCCTGGCAAGGCTGCAGGAGTCCACTCTTGGGGTGAAATGGAAAGTTTTGCACCCTTTTTTTTAGTTTGAAAGTATGGGAAATCAGTGAGATGAGTTCACTGAGTCTGTATGCTAGTCTTTTCTTGCAAATATTAATTTGTATTTATTTCTATAGGTGTCTTTTATAAACACTAGGGAAGCTCCCTAGCAAGTTTTAAGTGGGGTTCACATGAGAAGTGATCTGGTGTTTACTATTCATGGCTTACTTGGCCCAGGGGGGGCAAAAAGAGGAGGCTGGAAAATGGGGTGGCAGTGCTTGGCTAAATACACAAAGTGGCTTTTCATTCCACTGTCCACTTTGCTGTTTCTGTGTTAAAGCAGGGCAAGGAGATGTTTGTATCAGTGTCAGGGAATGACCAGTTCCTGCCTGTGTCTCACTAGCCAGAGGTTCCTGGGGGCCCTCCAGCCGGTTTCTGTGCAGGTTTCCCATCCCCTCTGCTCCCACCTTAAAAGCACTTCCATTTCATTTGTCAATTCCAGTTCACGGTGACAAGAGGTCTCCCAGCTCCCTGCAATGCACCGTGCGAGGGACCTATGTGACCACTAGATGATGCCATTACTCTGCCATTACTAACACGCTGGCCAGCTAAGCCTAGCTCCTGACTCCCTAACCCTTCCTGTGAGTAACTGACATAAAGCCCTGGTTAAAACGCTTCAAGACCCTCATTTCCCCATCTTAAGGACTTTCTTTCCCCTATTTCTGTGGCAGCAGTGGCTGGAGAGGAAGGGGAAGATGCTGTTTGGTAAAACAAAGGGAATGAACCCTGGTGAGGGTCTCACCTGAACCAGTGAAGGTGCATGAGCAGGGAGAGTATCTGCTGTCCTGCTGTGTAGTGTCTGGTGGGAGACAGTGGTGGGAGATTGCAAATATGGGAATGAACAACAGAGTATGTAGGGGAAGGTCTTTGAAAATGGCAAAATTACGCAGCTGGTTGCCACTGAACTGAAAAGGATCACGAGATGTCACCTTGTCTGTTCTCCAGGAAAGGGGAATTCCTCTGGAACTAGGCAGATGTAAATGCCAATGCTGAAATAAATCAAATGGCTGAGAGGGATATGTGAATCACAGACAGATTGCACTTGTCTCATCCTAGGGAGATCACAGGATAGCTGGGCAAGACAAGAAGATGTTGGCACATATGGACCCAGCCTTTGTAGGCACCCAAGGTCAGTGCCTGCTCCTGATGCAGCTGCTGTTGCCTGATGAGGTGTACAAGGGGGAAGCAGAAAGCAGCCAGGTGGAGGAGAGACGCAGGAAAACCCCATCCTTGTCCTATCTGACACTGAGGCTTGAAGGCTGGACTTGTTATTCCGTGCTCTGGAGTGCAAGAGCAGAGTGTTAGGTGATTTTTAGGGAAGGAAGGAAGGAAACAGATGATTAGACATATCAAAAGAACCGATACAGCAGTGCTGAAGTGATGGGCAGGGCTTCTTGCAGGGCAGCAAGGAGCATGTTTAGTAATACAGCTTAGCTGATCTGGGAGGAAGAATAAATCACATGGATGATATTATTTGCCCTCTATACTCATTCCATATTTCTCAGCATAGCAGAGATGTGGAAAACGGCTAGATTACCCCTTCCCCCACAAAAAAAGGGAGGTGGGAAGATTATTAAACTGTACAAGATGCTGAGCTCTTTTGAGAATTTGGTTGCTACCAGTGATACTGAACTTGCACTGTTTCAGGGATCTGGCCTTCTGATCCAGTGCTGACTATTCATGCTGAATATTCCCTTAAAGTTCTTTAAAACAGGGGTCAAAGAAGTGCCAGCATTAACCATTAAATTCACAGCTGTTTCAGTGAGAATGAAACTTTGAAGAAATCAGTGGATTTCAACAACGTTTTCAGTATGATCCATGAAAACGGTTTGTAAGTGTGCTAGTGCTTGGAAGGGCAGAAATGTGCTAGGTTCTGCTGTTTGCCATGGGAAAAGAAGGTGAAGTTCGACTACCAGCAAATACCATGGGTGCAAGATTACACTTGTGCTGCTCATGTGTCTTAATCTGATTCTGTTTGCAGCAAACCACTGTGATAAATCTCAGTTCTTAGAACTGCCCATCACTCCCTCTGCAAATCTTTCCTGGAGAACTGCTCTGGGCTGTGAAAATTAATTACTGCCTGCAATTGCATTGTGCAAATTCCTTATTTGTTCAGCCCATTTAGGCATGCTTTCTTGTAAAATGTCACAGCACGCTGCTCCTTCTCACCAAGAAAAAATACAACTGTCGCACTGTCAAATAACTTCTTTCTCCAATGAGCAAAAGAAGAAAGCAAAATAAAGGATCAGTTTCAGACCAAGAAAAGTACCCCAGGAAGTAGGCTGGAGGCAATTAATTACTTGTCAGCATCTCCCTCAGATATGCATAAAGTAGAAAAGGTGCCCATTTGGCTTTGTTCTGCTCTTTGTATTGCACTACTCTACTCCTTTCCCAACAATGTCCATCAGCCTAGCATCTGAATGCATGCTAGATGTTGGTACATCAGGCCTGCTCAATCAAATCCACAGGGATGACCCGTCTGTAGCTCTTGTGTTTCTTCTGATTTCTGTCGTATTAGATACATTGCTTTTTACCTTGGCCTTGGGGAGAGGAGTATTAGCGTGCTTTTCTCTCTGTGTGCAGTCTGGTGATGGCTGTTGGCATATGGATGTGCTTTCCATCCAGTCAGTCACACATGGGGGCAGATGTGAAAACCCAGAGGTATACCCAGACAGAGGCATATAATCCTTGAGTGCAGAATTAGACACGTGTGCACGTAAGTAGGCTTATTTGCAGGAATAGATGAGATGCAGGGATATGAAAACTACATCTCACATCTGACCATGTATGGACACAGTCCTTGCAGTTATCTCTAGCAAGACTGTTTTCTTCCTCTTCCTTTTTCAGCTACATGTGCATGGGGATATAAAAGTGCATGGCAAGGAGACAGAGTGCTCTGGGAGATGCTCCCTTAGGTGCTGATGAGTCGCATACAGGAGCAAAGCCATCAGCCACAGCCCCATCACTTCAGGAAAGATGGAGTGTTTGGTTGCTGGCAGCATGCTTATATCATATGGCCTCTGACAGGTCACTGCTCCCTGGAGAGCAGATACATAATGCAGGAATGCGCAGTCGCTGGAGGGCTCATGTGGTTCTCATCAGCATCCCAACCCTCAGTGGGTGGGACTGCTCTCCCACACATAGCTTTCCAGTGTGTCAGCACCCCTGCATGAAGCCATAGGCTGCCTCTGCTCATCTTCCTCGGCTGGCCTGTGTTGGTGGAGCTTACAGCAGGTCAGATGCTGTGCCTCCTTGAGTCACATAGTGACAGAGGCTCTTGCTTACTTGCCAGATTTTCTCTCCCCCAGCACGTCTCTTAAGTTTCCCCTTTGATTTTCTGGCCAGCTTTCCCTTCTTTGCCCTGTTAGGATGACCCTCTTCACCCCACTCCCACATCTGTCCCCTGGCCTGGCAAGGAGCACATTGAACTTTAGCTCTCAGAGACACAGTCTGCTCAGCTCTGAACACAAAAGTTTGCAGCCCACACTGCCCAGAGTAACCCTGCGGTGCTTTGTCCTGCTGGTCTGTTATTGCAGTGAAGGCTGTCAGGGCAAAGATTTTAGAAAACCCATCTTTTTTTTAAATCATTTTTTTTTCCTGCTGCTTATGGACCTTTTTGCTACACTCTCACCATTTATTTTACTCTCTTGAATTAGATGCAGCTAGGATTTTTGTTATTGAAGTTCTCTTTAAAGTGATTAGAGAAAGGTTCATTCAGACAGAAATGAGATTTTTATTGGACCCATTCACCTGCTGGCCTCTGGGTAATGAAGGAAGTTTAACATGTCTAATACACTAGCATCACCTGGCCCGAATCCAGATTTGGCTGGATATGAGCGTGTCTATTCATGATGCTGTTGGTCCCTAGTATTAGCAACTGTAAGAGATGTGCTGGCTTTACAAAGTACCTAGCCTAGGAAGGATGGTACTGGGGCACTGGAGCACTGAGACACACAAAACTTTGGATGCCATCAGCAACACCTGCAGTTTTGTAAGAAGGAAAGTTTCACATCTGGCCCATGCTTGTAAGGCTGTGGGGACTGATCAGCTGGAGAGCTGTGGTGGTCAAGCACTCTGTGGCTCTCCATTTCCTTTCAAAGTCCACACTGAAAAATGGAGGCACTTCAACTCTGACACCTTGCTGCTTGTCTGCCAGTTTAGTTGGGACTCTGAATCAGTTTCTTGCATATTGGTGGGCCACAGCTTGGAGCATACAGGTGGGCACTGAGGAGCAGGCTCTTTTGAACCATGCACACAGGAGTAAGGGTGCGTGCGGATTCTGAGGGAGCATGTTTGCAGATACCCTTCCCAAAGGAGGCTTGCATTCAGGGTTCCCATGCTCTCACCTCAATGATATAGTCTTTTCCATCTTTGCTGTGGACAGCTTTGACAGCACAGATGTCAAGACCTCCAAACATTTCTGCACAGGCGTCTGCCCAGAGTCTGTACCTGCAGAAACCACAGAAGCATGGTTTAGCTGTTATTGGGTAGTCCATCAAATACAGCCACCCATCCCGCTGCCCCTAGGAGCACAAGGAGATTCAGGAGCCCTTTTTGTCACAAGGCATACTTCATATGCTTTGCTGGGTCATTGCCTCCCCCTCTTGCACATGCAAAAAACCCAAGAATCTTGCCTAAAGTTTTTGTTCATTACAGATTGTTTCAATCCAGCCCTCAAAGCCACCTTAAAATATTCTTTCCCTCCTTGCTGTTTACATCAGATCTCCAGTTGGTTGTCATTTAGCCAAGCTATAAATATTTAGCTCATTTAATCTCCTGGTAGTGTTGGCCCCTTAGCGTTTGTATTGGCTTTGCCTGAAAGCCCTCCATTATGCAGGCAGCTTTCTCCTGATAAGATGTCCTGCACATTGGGGCTGGAATAGGATTGGAAAGTGAGTGCAGAATTTAGCAAGGAGTAGCCATTCCCCCCCCCCCCCCCCCGATCTGTAACCCAGCAGCTCCTACATATTACAACTTACTCTTTCAATTTCATCCTTTTACAGCCTCCTGCCTCCTTTCCATCCCCTGGCATTGCTCCTAGCCAGGCAGTCCCATCACATGGACCAAGCACTGTTCTGTTAGAGAGCTATACAGGCTGCAGCCCTTGTCTCTAGCTGTCCCAGAATGGGAATGTGGTGCCCCCTTAGCTATCCTGGTGTCAGAGGAGGAGAGAGCATGACAAGAGGTGTGTTATGGGGGGACTATATCCCCTGCTGTGGAAATGAGGAGGGAACATGTCGGCCTGGTTTTATTTCCTGTGCAGCTGTGCTGCAGTCCTGACCATTTCAATACAAATAATAATCTCAGAACAGCAGATCTGTAAGCAGGACCATGACAAGATGCGGAGAGGGGAGGGAAGGCCACAGTCTCATGAAAACACTGACATTTTGCAGACCCTACGGGACTGGGAAATGAGCTGTTCTGGCCAAAGAACAAGTTTACGTCCTTGAAGCCAGCCACAGTCCCCATATCTGGACAACTTGTGTGAACACAGTGTCTGAGGGAAGCAGCAAAAACGTACAACCAGTGCTCTCTTATCCCTGATGAGGAGCATGTTCACCCCAGCCCCTGTGAAGAAGACAGCACCTGAGGAAGAGTTGGTAGGATAAGGAGGAGGAGAACTATGGACCCCTTGAGCCAGGCGGGAGGCACAGTGAGCCCCACTTGGGCACTGCTGTGGCTTCACAACCAAGGGCACAACCGTGGGAACCACTTTTCTTCCCAAAGGATGTCTCAGAAGCCAGGCTTAGGGAATTGTTGCCTGTGCCAGAGACCATGATAGCCACGTCTTCAATGTTGCTGCCCCTAGGTGAGCACTGGGAGGCGTCAGGGCTGCTGGGTGTAGTAAGAGTGCTATGGAAAAAAAAGCATATTTATGCATTTGCAGAGGATTCACTGACATTTTGCCTAGTATTATCTGAACGTGTCTATTTTTTGGGCTACTGTTCAGTACACTTCAGTACTGAGCAGTACTTCAGTTTGCTCCTCTTCATCAGAGCATTCCAGCACACTCCTGCCTTGCTGCATGCAGCGATGACTCGGAGATTTCAACGGGATTTATTGCATTTATGTCTGGGTAAGGCTAGAGCGGTGAATTGTGGTACTACATCTACACAATGAACCTTCAAAATGCGGTGTAGCAGGTTGGCAGGAATCTGGCTTATAGTCCTACAACACTGCAATGAGGGAATGCCTACCCTTCGTCTCTCCAGCTTCAGCTGTGTTATAAACAACCAGGATGCACAATAATGTCCATGTCCCACAGTCCTATTAAGGTCTTGCAGAGTGACTTTCAGCATCTGATTTAGGATTTGGCTTCCCTGTTTCACAGAACTAAAGGCGTAGAAGAGACTTTAGGTGACCACCTGCACAGCTCTTGTAGCCCAAACAGGAGACATTTCTTTAACTTGGTCTGAAAGAGTACAGATATTTCCCATCTCATCTAGGCAATCTATTTCTGTGCTATGCCATCCTTATTATTAGGAAATATGGGAAATGTTCAGAAGAATCTCTTCTGCTGTAATTTAAGTCCATTAACTCTTATAGCGTTGTACTAGTAATATAAAGAGTGAGTAATGCCTATTATTAGCAGCATAATGAATCATAATCCTGATAAACTGGAGCTATAATCTAAAAAAATCTTAGATTCACTAGGGATGAGTGCCTACACATAATCTATGGATTCTATAAATCTATAAATAATTACTTAAATAATACAGAGAACAAGTGACTTGATAGCACTTTTGCAGAATAGGGCTTGGGAGTTACAGCAAGGCATGAGTTACCATGGGTCAACAATGTCATGCAGTTGCAATATCAGCAAATATCACAGTGATTGGAATATATGGAATTCCCATCTGCAAATTTCAGTGTAAGATGCATGAGGCAATTCCTTCTGCTCTGCTCAGCAGTGAGAAGACCTTAGCAAAAAGAAGGTCCGCTTTTGGGAGATTAAAGCTTTCAACACTTCAGCTAACAGATTTTTCCCTCTGTTGAGCAGAAGAAGAACACTTTTCTGTGTCTGCCTCTCATTAGTAATGAACTTAGAATAACTTCTTGTTACTTCTTGCTTTGTGCTGTGACCTTTCTGATTTTACCCCTACATGTTTGTGCTGGTGTGCTTGACCTTAGCATGCTGGTCTTGTTTCCTGTGGCTACATTCACTAAAGTTCTAATGGTTTAGCAGTGTTGGTGTCTAGCTGTACTTCCAGTCCATTCTCCAAATAGGACAGTTTGCTTTTGTGCCCTTAGTATTTTTGTAAGGAAACACTTGGTCTTTTAAACTCCTTTATCCCACCTCCCAGGAGACCTCACCAGTTCTCTCAATTAACCAGTCTGAAATACAGTTCCTCCCTTCTAACCCAAGAATAGCTAGCACTGTCTTGAAACCCTCTTCCTTACCTCTCTGTCATTGCAATCTGTTCGAGCATCGCAGACCCTGTGTTTGCTTTCCAGTTTCCAGAGATAGATGTCCTCCTAGGAAAACAAACCAAAAACATAATCCAAACATGAAAATACACTCCTGCCCCATCCTCCCTTGTACTGTAGCCCTCCTCACCCTTGACTCAGTGCTTGTACAAGAGGGGATGAGGTGAGGTACTTCCTCACAGAAGCATTCATAAATCTTGCCTCAACAACCCTCCATACAGGATATGTTGTTCAGGCTAATAAAAAACTGAACGAGGAGTTAGGGAAAACTCCAAGGAATCTTGAGCACACATCATCTCTGTGACTACTTTCTTTATACATCAGAGCTGAAATGTCTGTAGATTGCTCGGATAATCACCCTTGTGTTCTGCAGTGGGTAGCATCATCCATCCATGGAAGAGCAATTCTCCAGGCAAACATCTGCCTGAGCAGCTTCACAAATGTCAGCTCTGACATTCTGGGTCTCCCTTACCTTGATTTTGACTTTACTGGTGTCATAGAATATACGATTATACTTTCTTGTCACTGACTTTGTGTTGACCTGTCCATTGCTCACTGTGTCTGGACTTGGAGAATTGCAAAATTGCTGGAGTCTCATCAGCTGCTGCTGGTGGTTAATTTCCATGAAGCAAGGTACTGTTGCTGGCAAATTCTGAGTTTCAGCATCATCCATCAAGGGGTGAACACTTTCTTTTTCTCGACCTGAGGCACAAGGCAAACCTTGGCCAGCCTGCTGCGATAACACTGTGCAGATAACCCTGGCATAGTGTACAAGCTAGGACAAGTCAACAAGCTGACAGGATGCTCCAGGGAGCATCTCCAAGCTGAAGAAGATTTAGGTAGAGGTTTATGCGAGGTGAAGGAGGTGTGATCCAACATTTCAACATAAGGTTGTGGAAACCCTCACTGCCAGTTCTCTCACCTGATGTAGAAAAGAGACTCTCAACTTGCAAATGTATGTGGAGCACTGGTAATACCGATGTCCTGCTAGACTATAAACCTGGATCATTATAGTTGACTGCCTAAGATTCCCCTTTACTCTGGTGAGGGACAGTCCAGAGTTTGTTTTCATTTCTCCTCTCAAGTGGTATGCATATTTGCTGTGAGATTTAAATGGTTTTTGTAACCATATTTAAAAGGGTATGGGGGGTGGGAGGGGGGCAAATGATCATGGTAACTGTGTTGAATAGCTGTGTTTCCAAGTAGTTGACTCTTGTCCCTTGCTCTTTTCACCCAACATCCATTTTCCTGCCCTTCTTTCTAAGCAAAAGAATGTAATTCTCCTCAAGCTTTGACTGTTACAAGCCCTTTGGTGGCCTGTAAGGTCAGTGTTCAACCCTCAGCCTCTCTTTTGACATGGGATTCTTAGGATTGCATTTTTCAGTTCTGCAATAGGAAGAACCACTCTTTAGTAAGATTCAGGTTCAGAAAATTGTCCCTATGGCATCCAGAATCCCATTAATACTGATGAGAACTCCTGGAGTCTGCTTAGTGACAAGATGATTGGATATCGGTGTTTAGAAGATGTACCTGGCATACCAAATGCAAGCAGACTTTTAGGGATCAAGCAGATCTGTGACCAAGCCACCTGCAGTATTGCTTAGGGTAAATGAACAGACTAGCAGATCATGGGCTGTTGGTGTATTATATTCACCATCTCCAAGCTGGGCCATATCAGTCTAAAAGTAGCACTAGTTTAAATACAGTTGATGTTGTATCCCCTGCAGAACACATTGAACTGCCTTTGAGGTGACAAGATCAGACGTCACACTTATGAAACTGGAAAGGAAAGGATATTACCCTCTTAATAAGAGCTGGTGGCAAGGAATATCTCACCCTGAAAGTCAACACAGCTGCTGGCTTAATTCAAAGTGAACATTTCATGAGTCTTAAGTGGAAATAATACCCCTGTTTGCCTGCAGTTAGGGTAAGGGTAGAAGCGTAATTTCTGCCCCAGTTTTCCTGGCCACATGAGAAGTATTTGTGTTTTCTCTTTGCCGGTATTAAAATGACAGTCAAATACTTTTGGTGGAATTTTAGGCATGTATCACATGCTGCTTATCTGCTGTTTTGAGCCTGGCCCAAGGCATGGGCTAAGTAGGTGTTTGTTAGTAGTGTAAATCTGGAGTCACTGAACTGAAATCAATGGGAAACTGAACTCAAGGCTTGGGTCATGGGCTGGAAGGAAGTGCATTGAACATCTGGGGCGGGGAGGAATGCATGAGTCACCCTGCAGCATCCTCCCTCTGGCAGATGCTTGGTGCAAAGTAAACATATTCTGGAGGATTTTAGTACAATTTTTTCTCAGAAGGAAGGGGGCTTTTAAAGCCTATATGTGTGGGTGAAGGTATAAAAATATTGGGTAGATTCCATGGCTCACAGATCAAAGCAATTCACTCAGTATGACGCTGCTGCAGATGCTGTAATTGCCTTTAAGGCTGAGATTTGCTAGCATGACTAATGACTTTGAGTCTTCTATTTGAGACAGCAATGAGAACTCTGATATTTTGGGTGTTTTAACCTCTGTCTTTGGATATAGTAGGGACTTATTTATACCGTAGAGATAACTTTCTATTCTGTCTGATGCTGGGACAGAAGGAACAGCTCCCGATGGGACTGACTGTATGGCTCTCCCAAGCTCATGTCTGTAAATGGCTCTCAATATAAATCAACCTTGTTGGTTAGCAAGTTGCTGGGTGAATTTTGCCGTTTGCTTTCTTTGCTAATAAGCTTCATTTCTCATTAAGGTGTTTCCAGTTCATGGCTGTTTTCATGTGAAAGCATTTTTAGTTTAGGAAACAATTGTTTGCGCAGTTATATTCCCGCGTGGGATTAGCTGTTGGTGTGACCGCTTTCTTTCCTCCATCATCTGGTTTTATTTCTGATCCCTTTCTGGATGAGTGCGTGGTGAGTGTGAATAATAAACAAGGAGAGGATATGGTCAGGCTAACTGGACCTTTGTTTCACTCAGAGGCAGGCTGGGAGCAGGCTCTGGAGCCAAGGCTGGGTAGGTTGGCAGGAATAGGGAATTTTAATTGATATTTTAAACCTTCCTTCCTTTGGCCAATTTGTGCCAGACTCCCTGAGATGTTAATGTAATATTAGGCAACTGTGCTATTGTTGACCTGATAAGACTTAAAACAAATTTTCTCTCACTGAGTTCTCATGAAGTAGCCAAGTGTCCCACAAGTCCTTCCCATGAAGAATGTGACTCAGTCATTTTCTAGTTCACTTAAATACCTCTGTGCTAGGAATCCAACTGGGAATCTTAGGCAGCTATAGCTGAAAAATATGTGATCATGTACATTTGCTTGTCTCATTTAACTATGTTTCACCAGAATTATGGCCTAGGGGTTTGTAAACACAGACTGAAAACTCACAGTGTTATGGGTGTTAGGCAACATATGAAATTTATCTGGTGACCTGAAGAACGTACTGCTGGAGCTATCTACTTGTGCAGAATTTTGTGGCTGGATAAGGAGCTTCTGGAGAAGCTGTGCTATTTGGCCTTTTTCATCTACTGGTTTGCAGTAAGGAAAAACAGGTGTCTTACTGACTCTTGTGGTTTCATCTTTGACTGAGCTTGAGGACTACTGAAGTTTGGCTGGATGCTTTTTAATATTTTTAAACATATTAGTGCTGTGGGTTGCCTTCATGCCACCTCCCTCACATCCCATCCTTCTCCTTTCCTTTCTTTGTATGCTTCAAGGAACACAGATGCAAAAAGCCCAGAGGAACCCTGCAATCTGGCCAGGCTGAGACCATTTGTACCTGGCCATTTGTGTGCTCTTCATGTGATTGTGGTGCCATCATCTCCAGCTGGGGGAGGATGGGCTGTTGCTATGGGTTGGACACTGTAGGACTCCATGAGTTGCAGCTGGCTCAATCTCCTTTATTGTTTTCTCCCATGTGCGGAAGGCAGTGAGTTTGGTTCCCACTAGAGGGTACGGGGAGGATTTTGCTGGGAAAGATGAGCCCTTTGACAGCAGGAGGGAGAGGTCACAGGTGATGGCAGAGCACAGTTGTTATAATGAGAACTAGCTGAATCTCAGAAACAGGTAGCGAGATTTGCATTCCAGACATAGTGCGCTGATGGTGAGTAATGGAGAAGATGATTGGTGGATGAGGGATCTGGGTTCAGAGGTGGGAGGAGAACAGAAGGGCTATTCTTCAAGGAAATTAATCAGCTTCCTACTCCTGCCCAGAGCAGGCATCAACTCAGTCACATTCACAGCACTGTCTCCCCTGTCTCTCTGGCATAGCCATACACTCACATGTAAGCCTTGTAGTTGCTGCCGATTTTCTGGATTCGGATGTCATACTTGGAGTCAATGAACGGCTCAGTGGTGGCGTAGGTTTTTGCCATGGCTACTATGCTGGCCATGTCCCGGAAGTCGTGCTGGTTCTCAACTTTGACCTTGATCGCCAAAATACAGGGAAAAGTTACAAAGAGCAAAAAGAACAGGAATACTCTGTGAGCAGAAGTCATCTCTGTGCCTGAATAGCACCATGTCAGTTAAAACCCACACAGTTGGAGCTGAGAACAGAGCAGGGACTGATTGTGTGATTTAAAGAGAGAAGCTCCCCAGACCAACCCAACCCAGAGCAAATCCACCCCTTTCTCCTTCCTTATGCACAAGCCCTGGTAAACCTGGCACCAAAGAGGCAGATGGCTCTTGCTAATGCTCATTGCTTTTATGATACTTCAGAAAAATACTTGATCTCTTCAGGAGCATTACTTCATTCAGACACTGGAACTGCTATTTCCCATGTTGGGATGGATAAAACAGAGTATTTTGGGTGGTCAGGAAATATAAACCAATGCCAGGAAATAAACAAGAGAGCTGGTTGTCTGCCACCTCTAGGCTTTAGTTCCCTGGCATTTCACATTACCCCTGCTCCAGACTTTCTTTGAGGAGCTGTGCAGGTGTCCCGGCTGGAAGCAAGCTCTGCAGGAAAAGGGTGTCACTGGGGGAGCCTGTGATTCTCGGGAAGGTTTGTGTAAGTGCAATGCCACAGGCATATGCGTGGGACAACCAGTTGGGTGTTAGACTTGAGTCGCACATGGAAATGAGAGGGCAGTGGCCTATGAGCTGGAGTTTTTCTGAGAAGCTTGCTTTTCACGGTTTTGTATTCAGCTATGAGAAATTCTCTGTATCTTATCCAAAAACCAAACAAACGAAGGAAAGACCAAAACAGTGAGTGGGAGCTCTAACGATATGATTAGGTCTCTACAAAAGCTCATTAATTTGGGAGAGAAAAACTGCACATCAGGTAAAAAGGACATAGTGGACAGTTTCATGTCATTCACACCATCAACCCTGGCCTTTAGTCTGTTGGCAAAAACATGTTTGGTGCATCTGAGAAACACGTGTGAGTCTTGCTCCTTAGAGCCGGACGGATGCAGGAAGGGTGGGTTAATTGGTGAAAAAGGACCAACACTGTGTGAAAATGATGAGCAAGCGAGTGGTTTTCTTTCTGTATTACTTACACTTTGTAGTTCAGTAACCCTTGGAGGCCACAGTTAGGGATTGCAAAGTGTCTACTTGCTCATGACAACCTGTCAGTCTCTGCCACAGAAGAGTTTTCTAGTTGTGTTAGTTTGTGTGTCGAAGGAGGGTGATGCCAGACTATGTGGAGCCAGCTGAAGGAAATGCATGCAGTGGTATTTGGTGTTTCCTTGCAAAGAACAAACAAAGTGGTTTTACATAACTGCCTTCAACCATGAGAGGGCAGGAGCCATCTTCACTAGAGAACAGAGGACAAGCTTGTTGCTAACCTGTTTTATTCTATTTAGATGGTTTTGTGCAAGCGCCAGCTGTAACATAAGCCAAAGATGCAGCCACATCCTGGTGCAGAAAAGCTCTTGAGAACCAGACAGGTTGTGGGGAAGGTGAAAAGTGCAACTAGTTTGACCTGTGACCATCTAGATGCCTGAATAAGAAGGAAAAAAGACCTGGTCTTTACTTCTCCTTTTGCTGAATGCCAAATACCACTAGTCCTCCTCCCTTTTGCTGCGGTGAGAACTGTGCTTTCACTATTCAGGGACCACTGAGAAAAGCAGCAGAGGAAGAAGGCAGTCGTCTGTGGGGGTGGGAAGGTAGGGAAAAAAAGGGAAATAACAAACACAAAGGGGAAATGTAAAAGCAACCATTGCACGTCATCCAGGAGGAGCAGCCTTGCCCTGGGCTGTGCTGTCCCCCTCTATGTCTGTCTGGGGATGTGTGCAGTGCTGGTGTGGCAGGGCAGGGTGAGCTGGTAGAAATGCCCTGGAGGCAGCAGGAGGAGCGGGAGGGGGGGTACCTCATATGGAGGGAGCCCTCAACCTTCGTGCAGCTAGAAAATCCCAGGGGGAGCAATGCAGGCTGTGTAGGGGCTGGGTATTTTGGGTATTTTCGTTGCACAGATAAGAGCTGCGCTGGCGTGAGTGAGATCAAGCAGAACCCACCCTGGTGGGGTGATCACAGGAGGGACTGCACGGGCAGGCGATGCACGGTGTTACAACATATACTACCAGACCCTTCTGGCAAGGGGAAAGACAAAAGCTGTTATATAACGACCCACTTGGAATAAGGACATTCATGGGGTCTGAAACAAAGTGCTATGCTTGTGCAGCAGATGTCTTTGGGCCTCAGCTGAAACATTTGCATCCCCAGCCCAGGAACATTTATCCCAGAGGCAGAGGAAAGGATGCTGCTTCCCCCTTCAGACTGGAATTAGGTTGTATTGTTATTGCTAGCTGTATGCTCATCTTAATGATTTATTTAAATTTATTTAAATACAGCATGCTATGGAAAGGAAGGGTCCATTCTTTCCTCCTCCCCATCACCCTCTCCTTATGGGGAGAGAGGGAAAGAACTTGAACGTACTTTCTCCAATGGGCCTGAGGATTTTTTGCTGGATAAATAAAGAGAGGGGGACTCACCATGGACACAAAGTAAGAAATGAAAACAAAGATGACTCCCACAGTGCCACACCACTGCACAGTCCTCAGTCCTCAGTTCTCTTCCATCTATCTCTGGCCTGTACCAGAGCCCTTCCCATGGACTTTTCAGAGAAAGCACCTCACAGACGTCCCCTTTAAGGAGATCATGGCCTTATTTCCCACCAGGCATCAAAATAATCACCACACCAAAGCTGAAATCTGATCCACCGTTTGTTAATTGTTAGAGTTGGCCAAATTTGACAAAATAACAGCCATGCCCTGGGTTAACACTGATTTAGTCCAGGGTATGGTTATTACTTCATTAACAGGAAGCACTTGAGTTACAGTCAAATTAGATTTATTTTCCTGCCTTATCTATCAAGTCCACCATTTTATTAGCTTTCTGCTTTTGAATTTTGTATAATTCATTTCCTCCTGCTTTTTAGCCCTTTTACACGTCAATAAAATATCCATTCTCCTAACAGGAGAAAAATCTCTAGAGATAACCAAAGCCAGGGTGGATGTAGTGTGACACCAGAGGGCATTATTTAAGAAGGGACTATTAAAAATAATTTGAAAGCAAAGAGTTACCAATTCACCTAATAAGGGATAAATCTGTCTTCTAAAATGGCAGGTTAGCCACTGCATGAAACTGAGGAAAGAAGTTGGAAAGAGATCAACAGGAAGCCATTTTTTTTTTCCCTCTCTCTTTTTTGTAACCTTCTTAGGACAAATGCAATATCCCATTAGCTGCATAGAAGAGTGCAAACAGTGAGTGCAAACACAGCCCCTGCCCTGGCGGCCTGTTTGCTTAGCTGTGCTGGCTGTTTGAGCAGCAATAGACTCATTCTGGAGCCATCAGCTGCTGTTTGCAGGAGCGTTTTAGTGACCTGTTGTGGAGAGTTTGGGCCAGTGTGTTGACAAATGCCTTTTCTAAGTAATAAAGCTCCCTGGGATAGTCTCTGCTTCTCTTCTGGCTCTCTTCTCTAACCCAGGCATTGGCTGTGGCTGTGCCCTAGCATGCTCCACATTGCTGCATTAGAGAGGGGAGTTCAGCTGGATCCCTGGAGACATGCGCATGCAGATGTGACTATCCTTTTGCCCTGTTGTGGCATCTCAGGGGCTGATGTTAGTGATCTACTACGTGATCTGGAGCTGGTCCCCATTTCTATCCTCAGCCTGCCCAAGAAGCACTGATATTCCTGCCCCTGGCAGTCTGAGGGACTGATCAGAAAGAAACACCTCTCTACTATGGACCTTCTTTTGAGGCCTTCCTGCAAGACATGATTTTAGAGAGCGGGTCCTGGCACTGTTAAAAACCCACCATGGGTATTTCCTGTGTAGTCTGAGCCACTCCTGGGATCTGAGTGCAGGTTCCTGGGAAGAAATTTCTGCTTCCTGTCTTGTAGTTCCTGAATCTAGTGTCTCTAGGATATCCTAGATATTCCTGGACACCAGGGTGCCAGAGCTAAAGCACTCCTCTCTCATCTTTAGCCTAAGTACTGTATTACTTACAGTCCCCTTTTGCTTTCATTAGTTAAGTGGCCACATGAAAGAATAGTCAGTCAGCCAAAGTGGCATAATTATAGTAGTCTGCTAGGGCAGCCCTAGCCTTGCCTTTCTAAGTGCCATCCAGAGGTAACTTTGTCTTTCAGGTTAAACCCACATCACTTTGGAGATGGCTTGCAGAAGCAGTTTCTGTATCCAAACTGGGGTTAGAGGCAGATTCAGCTGGAAGGTAAACGTCCAAGGCTGAGCCAAGGCCTGGCGTGGCAACGTGATACTTGACCGAGTCTTGGTAGGCTTGTGAAAAGGCACAGTGAGTACTTTCCTCCAGAGTAACTGGCATGGCCAAGTAAAATTAGTGATTTTTTGTCCATCTTAACCTGCACTTAACCTTTCTGTAGTTACTTTACCATTCTGGGACAACAGGTATGGCTCTGCAGCCATGGCTCTGCAGAGGGGCTCTCAAGTCTTTCCTTCACTCTGCCTTTTACTACTCCTGTTCTCAGAAAATACCTGATCCAACCAACACACACAGAGTTTAGGATTGACTGACTCACCTCAAAATGACAGAGGCACAACAGAGTCTGCATTTCCTTACTATCCTCATGATGAAGTTCTCTATATGTTATTCTGCCTTTAATGCGTTGAAACTTATAATTCCTACTAACTTCCTAACGAAGAGCTTCTCAGCCCCAGACCTTGGCAGCTTTGGTCTTCAGTGCCCTGGATCAGTCACTATTTTCTGTGTCCAGAAAATGCTTCCAGATTGAGGTGCAAAAAATGGAGATGCTATTTTCAAGACGGGTGGTACCTCCTCGCTCATGAGCCAGTGGGAACGCAGTGATTGGGCTGCTCTGCTGTGAATGTTACATGTCAAGTCATTATTTGTCCTCTGTAAAAGAAAATATTTGTTCCTTGACAAACCGAGGTAGCCCTTTTCCCTTCCTTTCCTCTTTAGCACACTGGATTTTCAGAGCTCTCACTTTTGGAACGTTCTATTTCCAGTCCCGAGAGAGACAAGGTGACGAGCTGTCCTTCCTGATAAAAAGCTTGCAGTACTTTTACATTACAGAGTGGCTCTGTTTAGTTTGTGCTATATTTATACCAGAGGGAAAAAAAAAAAAGAAAGAAAAAAGTAGAGAAGTCTTTCCCATCCAGTAAGAGAGAAAATAACTCTGACCACGTTATTATGAACAACAAGTTTTTCTTCTACAACGTAATGAATTCATCTGAGCCAGGATTTGTACTGGGGAGGTGTTTTCATAATTATGGGGCAGGCGGGGACAGGAGGTGACTCTCAAACTGGCCAAATTAGAGAGGTCTAAAAATAAAGAGAAGCAATATATATATATTTATTAAATTAATAGAAATAGCTATAAGGCCACATGAACAGATACTGTTTTTCCTCTTTGCAGATCTGGCAGTTGTTTCCTTCTCATGATCTGACCAGGAAGAGGTGAAGAGGCTCTTTGAGTGAATTTGCAGTGCTGGGCTCTGTTCCTAGGGCACTTTAGGGTCATATTAGCACACAAATGGCAGATACCAACACACTCAGAGCTTTATTCTTTTCCATGGGCTCTGGCATTATGAGATCCAGAGTCAGGAAGAAGTGTTAGTCCGTTCTCACTGTAGTGCTCACCCTATTCAGCAGAGATGCCCAATCACTTCTGGGGTAGATGGGCTCAGAATGCACAATGCTTAAAAGTGTCTTGACCAACTAGGAGCTGTTGTGTGAACAATAGCTCTGCACAGTGAAGGGCATCTCCTCTCTGTGTCCATCCCCAGTTTCCCTTGAAAAGTCCTTGACTACTGTTGACCCCATGAGCCAGGGCAACTTAAATACAACATGGGAAAGATCTCTCCTGACTCCACTGTGAATCACTGTCGAAGCAGAATTTCTACAGATACCTTATTTCTACTGATATTGTTCTGAACCAGCAGAGAACACATATTATGATTTTCCAGTGCCAGCAAAATATGAATTAGCTCCAAATTTGAAAAGAGATATAATGATGGTCATGGGTGAGACTGAGGGGCATATGTCGTGAGGCTGTCTGGGGCCCCTTTGTCCAGGTGAAGGCTATTCCTGGTGTCCCTGTTCAAGTCAATAGAGAGGCTGTTGTTTCTGGATTTCTAAATGGAGATTTCTGAAAATGCCTTTTATTGCAAATTTGCTTTATTTGTCTCCACCTGCACTTTATATGCACTTGGCAAGAGCATTTCTATCACTAACGGTATACTGCCACCCCTTTTGGTTCTGAGCTTGAGTACTAACTGCTCCTCTTCCAAACTAAAGACAGTAGAGCCTGTTTGTTACAAGTCCTAACATGGTTATTTTAGCTTTGGGGATTCCCTCTTCAACCTTTGGATTAAAAAATGTGGTGAGTGAATTCTGTGAAAATGTTGTGAAAACAAACGATATGTGACAATGAAAGTCTGGCCATTATAATTATACTCTTTCCAGCCATTATTGCAAAATAATAAACATGTGGCACTTCTTATAGTGCCAAGAGCCTTAGGAACATGAATTAGTGAAAGACTAAGGTAATCGTTGTAATCCTTCTGCTCTGTAACACAGAGAAACTGGAGAAGAACTGTGAAATGACACAAATCTCCCTGTAAGTCAATGGTGGATCTCTCTGGGGAAGGAGCTTTTCCTGTGTCCAAAGCTTTTCTGGCTCATGGCCACTGCCTCAGTACAAATAAAGAATAACAATGGGCTTCCCATCTCTGCTCATTTTTCTAAGTTTTGGTGCCTCCCATTGCGTGTGATTGTATCATTAATAACAAGAAAAATGTAAGTACTTCCTTAACAATTTCTGCTGGTAATGACGCTATAATCTGAATGCTCACATCCTTTGAAGCACCCGTTACAGGTACAAATACAGGGCTCACTATCTTGGCATCGTTTGTTGGTGTAAGTACTATTTTTAATATTCACATGTCGACTTTGGCTAATAGGTTGGTTATTTTATCCTTTGTTTCTTCAGTCACTGCTATAAAAAACATGACCCGATGCAGGTGTCTTATTAACGTTTACTTTCTTACACTCTTCTAGACCAAAAGCAAATCTCTCTCTTTCATATTACTTACATTTTACAGATAAAGACCCTCTATTTCTTGCTATCATTTCCACTTCTGAAGACCAACGCAAAGAAATCCTTTATCTCTCTGTAATCTCCTTATCATCACTGGTTATTGCTTTTATATTATGATGGTTAAAACCACCGTATTGTCTCCTGGAAACTTTCCTTCTCTGAATTACTTAATTGGAGGTTTGATTTTGCTTACCTATGAATGTTATTTTTCTAGCATACCCATAGTTCTCCTTATCTGTATTCCTCCTGACATCTTCTATGGCTTCTTTCTGTCAGTTCCACTTGGGCTTGAACCCTATTGTCTTAAAACCAACATGAAACGAATTCCTGTAACTTGTCTTTTAAACCAACAGACTTGTTCTTTATTTTATTTTCACTTTCTCTCTTCTCTTTTTGCTCTCTGCAAAGAAATGCAGTGAGACTTCAAGAAGACTAATTCAATCAGTCTCAACTTTCCTTTAGGCTGCTTGTGGCTGGAGAAGGGCCCAAACTAAAACCATAAGGTCAACAAAGCTTCCTTCCCATTCCTTCTTTATCTACCAAACAGAGCAGTGTGGAAACTCTGTGACCAAATCCACATCAGACTTTGCTTGTAGTTCTTAATTTCATAATGGACAAAAGTAAACTTGGCCTCAGACCAATACTTTCTTCTAAGATGCTGGATGTCAGCCTATCTTCATCTGGAATGACTTCTTACATACCCCCCTTGTACCTCTGTGTACAACTATGCCCAAAGTTTGAATAGAAATGCTTTTCTCTTATAACTTGTGACAGGAAAACCCAACATTACTAAAGAATGAAGTAAGAGGGAAAGTGAGAGGTGGAAGAAGATCTGGTGTCTGGTCCAGAAGACAATAGGTAAATATTCTGCTGAGTGTTTTGTCTGGAAATACTGTTCAGATTGGGGTACTTTTCTCTGATTCTGCACGTACTTTCATAGTCACTGAGGGTCCTTTATGCACAAGAGAGACACATGAAACCCTACCCACATTACAGGTCAAACTGCAGAGCAGAGAGATGCAGGACTGCAGGATCTCAAGGAACTTGAAACCATTCCTCAGCAAGAGGCTTCTTCCTCCTGGTGTTCCAGTTAGGATTTTGCTAATGAAATCCTTCCTAGGGACATGTTCAGTGGCTCACTTTACAAGCAGCTCTAGGCTGTCTCCGTGTACTCTAATTCAATGACACCTCTGTCTGTTTAACACACACAGTACCATATTTTAACAAACATTTCCTGCTTATTTAAATGTTTGTTCTTTGATGCTGAAAGTCAACTTCACCACTGGCCCAGGGATCTGAGCCCGCTTCCTCTCCAGCAGCTACCATCCAGACAGGGGAACACTGTCACCAAAGCAAGAAAGATTATGAGAGCTTCCACTGCGATCCAGGAAGCCAGAATGAGCTCCTATTTCCAGAGCACAAGTAAACAAGCTGGACCAAGTTTAAGTTTGTTGTACCTATATATAATTTTCAGATGAAGTGTGAGGCTGGGAGAAGGTGTGTCTGCTCTAGGGAAGCACTGTGACAGGGGTACAAAGTTAATGTACCTCCCATTTGGATTCAGAGATGATAAGTCAGAATTCCCTACTTGTGAACAAACCAAGTTTTAGGCAGATAGGGGATGCTTTTTTACAAGGTATATACAAGAAAGTGGAGGCTAAAATGCAGTAGGAATGTGCTGGCGATGCCTCACTGAGAGGGGAGCACAGTCACCCCAAGAAACAGGGGCTGCTAATTCACTGGGGGAATAAAGATCCCAGAGAGCCTGGGAAAAACAAACAGGTCCTTCTGGGGAGCGAAATGTTTTTCAGGATTCCTTGGCAGGCAACCAGCCATTCTGCTTTGTAAGGTCTTGTTCTTCCTTGCAAGGAGGAAAAAAATAACTGAAGGGCTCCCGTTTTATTGAATCAGGTCATCATAATGCTCTCAAAAAGACCACTGCTCCTCATTGTGAGAGCTATGGGGTGTAGCTGCACATTACAGGTGCTTGAATAAACAGCATTACCACTTTCAGGAGAGAAGAAAATATATAAAAGACGAGCCTAACGACTCCAGCCCAGCCAGCTTTTCCCCCACTCTTCACAACCCCCCTTCCCGCATCCCAGACAGCCTCCAACCCAATACCACTGCCTGTCCCCGAGTGCGTGACAGCAGAAAAAGGCCTTTTCTCCCACAGGAACAGCCAGCGCAACCCAGATAGGCTGTGGGGAGGTTTAACCCCTTCTCTGGCTGTCCACACTGTGTACGATCACAGGAATGCCGTGCCACATATATAGCTGTTTCTGGAGCTATGAGTGCATTCTGTAACTTACCTTTCCCATTCCAGCATGAGCATGTCCCAGTTTGACCACTACAGGGAAATTTGGAGTTGTGAGCTGAAAGACAAAAGAAGGAGCTTCGCATTAGTTATTTCATTCCAGCCACTGTATTTGAAATAATTTGCTTTTATTTAGTAGCTTTTACCCCATCCCTGTAACCTGATGGGAGAATAAAATGGTCAAATAAAGATTGTCCAGGTGGTAGCACAATAAGTAAATAGCTAACATGGATCGGTGGACCCATGTGGTTGAAAATGGAGGCCAGGCAGAATTCCTCAGATCTCACCTACTTTTGCTGCCTGATAGTAGTAACCTCAAACCTTATTTGTTTCCCAGTGCTTTTCCCACACTGTACATATGGATGTGTGTATACCCATATGCATGTAAAAGAAGCTGCACATGCAAGTGTGAGTCAGTGAACATTTTCAGATGCTGAGAATATCTGAATTGTGAGAAAGACAAGGGTTTGTTGTTTTTACTTTTCCACACAGACTACTTTGACCTTTAACGTGAGTGTAAGCAGTCCTTCAGCAGCTCCCATTCCCCTCCAATCAGCAGTGGTGGGGGCCAGGAGAGAAGGGACAGGGGCCAACCCTTGGGTGCAACTCACGGAGTCCATCTATTCATAAAGCTTCTTCCTCTCTTCTCTAACTTCAGTGGTTGGTACAGGGAATAAAGGAAAACAGAGAAGGGTTGGAATCAGCAATAAGAATAGGAAAAAATATGTCATGTCTTCACCATGGCTTGTGTGGTGTTTACAGTGGGCAGGGTCCTGCCATCCAAGCCACGCAACTGCATCTTAGGGCACATGTGGGATTTTACCTTGAGAACTGCAGGTATCCTCTCTGTCTTCTATTTCATGCTCACACAAGGATTTACTTGGAGCAGAGAGCCGGGTGGCTGGACTGATAGAAACTAGCTGGGAGTAACCAGGGTAACATATACACCATACCTCACCTACATACAGGTTAGTGCATTTGTATGCCTCTGCTTGGCATCGCTGTGATCTTCACCTTATCCTGCTCTCCTGACTCTTGTGATCTTAATGCTATCCCTTCAGTGCATAGCCTGTTATTTGTTATTGCATATTCATTTTCTTTAATGGGAATTCTTTTAGAAGAAAATTTTATCTTTACTTAAATGCCTGAAGCAATGAGCTCTATTCATTAAGCAGTTAACATGGAGATCTGGCAATGGGAGGGAGTTGAATTTTGACAGATAAATGGCTGTCCTATTTATTTAAGTTTAAGAATGAATAAACAAATTGTTCTTGTGCTAATTACCAATTGTCTGTATGGACAGGCAGGCGCTGCATCCTAAAGATAGAATGGTGCTGCAGTCTCCATCTGTGGCGGCTCACTATAAATAACAAAATTAGCAATGAGCACTAATATATTTTGCTCTTCAGCTGCTTGTGTAAAGGAATGTCAGAGGAGAGCAGAGCAGGGAGTGCATCATGCTGTCCAAGAACCTATGTCACTTGTAAGGACCTTCTTCAAGCAGAAAGTCGGAAGGTCCTCTTCAGACCACAGAATGGCCACAGCTGCAATAAATCATGGTCCTGGCACAGTCAGGGACCAGCACCCACTCTTTCAGCAAAGGACTGCGATAGGTTCCCATCTTGAAGCCCTATGATTAAGCATATGTCCAGGCACGTGAGTTTGTGCTCTATTTCCCCTTTGCCTCTCTAATGCATTGTAAGAGCCTGAAACTTAATTTGCAGCTGACATAAACGAATGAGTGGAGGACTGCACCTGAGGCTCACTGAAGACAGGGCTATGGAGGGACCATGCCAGGCCTTTAATGATGGAAGATGAAAGGTAACCTAGCAGTTAGGGTACCCAGCTGCTCAGGCTCTGGGAGACCTGGCTTGCTTCCCAGCACTGTCATCCATGCCCCATGCGCACTGTTAGAGCTGAAGTGCTGGCAAGCCCTGGCCTCTGTTCCCTGTTTGTGAGCAGAGGCTGAAGCTGTTCTTACCGCACAGGAAAAGCAAAGTGCATGCTGTGAGCTGGCCTGATACCCTGCCAGGGAGGCCAAAGAAGTGTGTGGGATAGATAATTCCCTATCACTAGCTCAGAGCAGCCAGAGGCAGGAAGCAACATGTCTGCTGCCTCATTTGTGTACCCTACCTGTGGGTTTTGCTGAGGGAGCATGGCTCACGCATGGGGCCTGGGAGTGGGAAGCATCTGTTTTCCTGTGTACATGCAAAGAAAGCTGGGATACAATAAACAAACCAAGTTTACTGCTAGCCTTAAATAAACCACCAGTAGTGAGTGACAGCTCTCTCCTTTCTCTTTGCTTCTTGGAGATGTGAGCTCAGCTTTCTTGTAAGGCATGGTCTTGTCCCACATAAGGGTGACCAGCTGGTGCCAGAGCATGGCACATACACTTAGCTGCATTTTATAATGGGTTTATCTAGTGACAGTGGAGTGACCTTACTCTGTGCTGAAGTTAAGTGAAATCAAAAGCTCTTAACAGCCGATAGGACTAAAGCAACCAGAGTCCACAACGACCCAATAATGGAGCTGGGAAGCCCTTGCTGAAGTGGTGGAAGCCAGCTAAACTCCACTGAAGTCAGTGCGGATACTTCCAGCATCCACGAGGGTCTTGTTGGGATTCAAGTCCCATTTCTGTTGCTAACAGATAGCCAGCCAGCATATTTGGCAAGCAACAAGGTGGATAGGGGAGCCAAAAGAAGGGAGAATGTATCATACACACGACTATGAGGAAATTCACACAGGTACATAGTGAGAAGTTCTGGGGGTGGCCACAGCCACCACAGGGGTAGACCCCTGAGATCAGTATTTACACATACTTAGTCACAGATTTACTGGAAAAGAAGATGCTTATAATGAAAGGATAGCACCAGAGTTTAATAAGAAAAGCATGTTTTTGCTGAAATTATGCAAAGAAATATGTCTGTGTATTTCTATGTGTTTGTTTATATGTTCTAAGGGCAGTATTTTCTTGGAAAATGGGAAAAAACATTTTGATGCTTTCAAAGTGTGCATGAACTGTTGACAGTCTGGTATAGATGATGTCTGCAGTTTTTGGGATGGGACTGTAGCACTACAGCTAGCTTGGTGATCAGACTCAGGGTGTTAGTTCATATGCATAACTCATCCCTTTGAATTAACATCCCATAAATGTATTCCCAGATGTTGTCACACAAAAGCCGTCAGATGGCAAAGTTTACGTATGTGTCTAGAACTTGGTGTATAAAGATGCCTGTTCAGAGTCAAACAGGAGTTTGAATCCTGAACTTGGAACTCAGCAAAGCCATCTTTGGTAGGAGTGAAGGGAGAGTCATGAACTTATTTCCAGCTTACAACACTGGTGGCCCAAAGTATATCATTTTAGCCCCTGATTTTAAGGGCTCTGCTTTGTGTGAAGTGTCACTGCAAAGATCACTTTGCAGTTCATGAGTATTTTGGCACTGGTGTGTAAAAGTGAGTGCCGGTATGCATGCATTAGCCTCTATTTGAAAACACATGGCTGTAAACTATGACACTTTCCCCTTTACCCTGTGCCCCTCCTTTCCAATAAATACCGAGGTTTTCAATACTTCTTGTAAATACATGAACAGTTTCTGTATTTATTGCTGGTGGACCAGTAGAACAGTGTTGGATCTAAATTGATCTTAAAGGAGGAATCTTAGATGAAACCTCATTTGCCCCATATATACATTGCTTTCCACTCTTCTGTTTCACTGAAGCCCTCAAGATCTAAGGTCTCTGGTTTTGTGTACTGTCCTGTAGTCCATAAGCAATGCAGAATGTCTCTTTTGATTTCCTTCTGATGTGTTTAGTTTTGTGCATTTGTTCACATTATCTATCTCATCTCATCTCATACAGTGTACTTCCAATTTCCAGTGTAATTGTTTCTTCTGCAAAGCCTTTCCAGTCAGTGCTAAAATGAATAGTCCAGGGTGCAATGACATCATGGATGATATGATATTAGGAAGGACCTGGGGAGATGGAGACATTAAAACTTCGGTCTCTTGGCACCAGTATTGTGTTACCTGGTGTTTTCAATCAGGACAGAAGCCCCCATAGCACAACGTACTGTAATTTTTGGTTTACCCTTTCCCCAGAAGTAATGTGGTTTTTTCAAGCTTTTATAGTCTAAAACTGACCTTTCTGTTTATTTAGCTGCCTTTAGTTTTATGATGACAAAGTCTGTTCTGGGTGGGTACTTAATGGATTATGGGAATGTTGTTCATGCACTTGAGAGCTAAACGTTGAAAGCAATTGTGTGTGGCACTTCCCTGATGTCAAGTTGGAGGAGCAGTGAATATATATAATTTTCTGTAAAAGTAAGCAAGCTGATTCAAACCTACAGGAAAGTAATGATGTCATGACACGATGTCATTGTGTTTATGGAACTATCTTCCTGAAAATCTGAGCTGAAGTTCAACACTGCTTGCATGCCAGCCTTGCCAGGCATGGCAAAGTCAGAGCTGTGTAGTGAAATACAGAGGAGAAGTAGCACTCCCTACTGCTCACTTAATTACTCACGAGTTTATGTAATGAACAACTGCACGCAGCATGGATCACTCAGTGGATTAATACTGTAGCCCCATGGAGGTTTGTGGTAGCCAACGACTATGACAGACAAGTCCTTCCCCTCTGCTGTTTACCAGATCAGAAATACAATGAGCAATGGTGGGAGACCGTGTCAAGAAATACAAAATAATATCTCTTCTCTATTAAAGAAATGTGATATGGGTTCCTTTAAAACATACACATGACTGTAAACCACACATTTAAAACACATTCACGACTGTATTATAATTATAGCACAATGAAGAAAACATCATTAGCTGGGGAAAGAGGGCCTATGCTCAGATGAAGTAAATCCTGAGAAAGACTAGGTATTCTCAAGGGTCTCTGAAGGAAGAAGGACATAGGCGTTATGATGAGAAAAATGATGGGACACTTGTGAAAGGAGGAGTTCAGTAACAGCTTGATCAAGACATCTTTGTACAAAGTAGGACCTGAAGCAGTATGGTGACTGATAGATGGGATGTCAGCTGGAACACAACAGTGCTCCTT